AGTCTGCGCACGGGTGCATTCTCCTGGCGCTCTACGTTCATAGCTGCCAGCAGATAGCCACCCTGAGACTTGAGCTCAGTGGCCGCCTTGCCATAGTCGGGCTTCATTTTCTTACAGAAGCCACACCAGGGCACATAGAACATAACCAGCATGGGTCGTATGTCCTTGCGAAGGTGTTTCGTGAATGTGGCAGCATCGCTGAAGTGCAGTACATCGTCGCCTTCGGCATCTTCCTCCCAGGGCAAGTCGCCGGATGGATCACGCATGAACGTGACAATCGAACCGACACTCACCTGTCGATCGTAGTCCTTGTGGTAGTCGCCATCTTTGTAGTGCTTCAGCGTGTACCGGTCGGGTGTGACTTTCAGCTTTTTACACAACTTCTTTCTGTCCTGCTGTCCACAGTCCACCAGCAACATTGTGCCCGTGCCGCGTACCGCCTCTGCAGCCTCACGGAACACCTTCAGTTCGGCGGCCGCTGCCTTGGCACTGGTCACATACAGAGCCAGGACATTGTTCTTGGTGCGCAATAGTTTCTTAAAGTCCTTGTACTCGGACACGTCCTCCTGCACAGCGGAAGTTTTCGTCTTAGCGGCAACAAGTGCCACCAGCAGGAGGAGCAACACTATCCGGCCTGAGATCCACATCGGGGCTGTTCGCACTGCTCACTGATTGGACTTTATGGGTTTATATTAAGGCGCTATTTGTTCTGGTAACAGTGCAATTACATGTTTTATACAATTTTAAAGCGGATATTCTAATATATAGCCAAAATGCTGTGAGAAGAGACGGACGTGGACGTAGCGTAGGGTTGTTGAATGCAATCAAATGTACATCGATGATCAGCAGAGATGTATGGTTATCGATTTTTTGTTGTTTGATATTTGAATGCAACTGTTAAACTGGCAGTCAAAATGTATAAACAGGTATAGCTTCATGTGGAAAACCATGCAGTGAAAGGGAGATATATATATATGTTTATTTGGCGGAAAGGCATACACTACTATCGATAGCATAACCGAACTACCGAACGTGGCAGGCGACAACTCTAGCACAGGTCTGACACATTAACAAGAGGGGAAGAAGAAGAAGACAGCAGTAGGCACAGCAAAAGAGTTTTCTTCATCTCGCCGCAATCAATTTACTATTCATTGCACAGAGTTAAGGTTGGTTTACTTGATCAGCAGCGATGCCTCTCAAACTGGACATCAAGCGTCGCCTGACGTCGCGCTCGGATCGGGTCAAGTGTGTGGACCTGCATCCAGCCGAGCCATGGATGTTGTGCGCCCTATACAATGGCCACGTACACATCATGAACTATGAAAACCAGCAAATGGTTAAAGATTTCGAGGTATGCGACGTCCCGGTACGCTCCGCCCGTTTCGTGGCACGCAAGAACTGGATCATCACCGGTTCGGATGATATGCAAATCCGTATTTTCAACTACAACACCCTGGAGAAGGTGAACTCGTTTGAGGCGCACTCGGACTACCTGCGCTGCATTGCCGTGCATCCCACGCAGCCACTCGTGCTGACCAGTAGCGGTAGGTTTCACAGCACTTATCTGCTCATTCCATACTAATTTTGGTTTCACTTTCCTTCCTCGGATTGCATCAGATGACATGCTCATCAAGTTGTGGAACTGGGAGAAGCTGTTTGCATGCCAGCGGGTCTTCGAGGGTCACACCCACTACGTGATGCAGATCGTGTTCAATCCCAAGGACAACAATACATTTGCCTCTGCCTCATTGGACCGCACGGTCAAGGTCTGGCAGCTGGGTTCCAATTTTGCCAACTTTACGCTGGAGGGACACGAGAAAGGCGTCAATTGCGTCGATTATTATCATGGCGGTGATAAGCCCTACTTGATTTCGGGCGCCGACGATCGCCTGGTCAAGATCTGGGACTACCAGAACAAGACGTGCGTGCAAACATTGGAGGGACACGCACAGAACATTTCTGCCGTTTGTTTCCATCCCGAGCTGCCGATCGTGCTTACAGGCTCAGAGGACGGCACTGTTCGCATATGGCATTCCGGCACTTACCGCCTGGAGACCTGCCTCAACTATGGCTTCGAGCGCGTTTGGACCATTTCCAGCATGCGTGGCACCAACAACGTGGCCCTCGGCTATGACGAGGGCTCCATCATCATCAAGGTGGGCCGCGAGGAACCAGCCATGTCCATGGATGTGGTGGGTGGTAAAATCGTTTGGGCCAAACACTCGGAAATGCAGCAGGTGAGTTGGTGCCATCTAATCCTTGTGCTGTCGCAGCATTAACTGAATTTTTGTTTGCTCCTGCAGGTTAATCTAAAGACCATTGCTGACGGCACTGAGATTAAGGATGGCGAACGCTTGCCCGTTGCCGTCAAGGACATGGGCGCCTGCGAGATCTACCCACAGACGATTGCCCATAATCCCAATGGCCGCTTTGTGGTTGTCTGCGGCGATGGCGAGTACATAATCTACACATCGATGGCGCTGCGAAACAAGGCTTTTGGGTCGGCCCAGGAGTTCGTTTGGGCTCTGGAGAGCAACGAGTATGCCATACGGGAGAACAATGGCACTGTCCGGCTGTTCCGCAACTTCAAGGAGCGCAAGAGCTTTACGCCCGAGTATGGGGCAGAGAGTATTTATGGTGGCTACTACTTTGGCGTGAAGACTTCATCGGGACTGGCCTTCTACGACTGGGAGACCCTGCAGCTGGTACGTCGCATTGAGGTGCAGCCCAAGAATGTGTTCTGGAATGAGAGTGGCAGCCTCGTCTGCCTGGCCACAGACGATTCGTACTTCATACTGGGCGTGGACACGGCCCAAGTGGCCAATGCCGTCGAATCCAAGGAGGGTCTGGAGGATGATGGTGTGGAGAGTGCCTTCAATGTATTAGGTAAGACCACCTCCCTGCTAAGATCTGCCAGGACCAGCATATAACATTTAATTTTCTGTGTGATTAACAGGCGAGGTCTCTGAATCTGTAAAGACGGGTCTGTGGGTCGGCGACTGCTTCATCTATACGAACTCTGTGAATCGCATCAACTATTATGTGGGTGGCGAAATTGTCACCGTGTCGCATTTGGATCGCACAATGTACTTGCTGGGCTACGTGCCCAAGGATAACCGCTTGTATTTGGGCGACAAGGAGCTAAACGTGATCAGCTTCTGCCTGCAGCTGTCGGTGCTGGAATACCAGACGGCCGTCATGCGTCGCGACTTTGAGCGGGCCGATCAGGTGCTGCCGACCATACCCAAGGAGCATCGCACACGAGTGGCACACTTTCTGGAGAAGCAGGGCTTCAAATCGCAGGCTCTGCAGGTCTCCACCGATGCTGATCACAAGTTTGACCTGGCCTTGCAGATCGATGAGCTGGACATAGCCCTGAAGCTCGCCCGAGAGGCGGAGAACTCCCAGAAATGGTCACAGCTGGCGGATGTGGCGGCTCGCAAGAATAACATGGCGCTGGTCCAGGAATGCATGAGGAAGGCGAATGACTTCAGTGGCTTGCTGCTGCTCTCCACGGCCTCGGGCGATGCACAGATGCTCGAGGAGGTGGAGGCTGTCTCCTCTGTGATGGCACGTCACAACGCCTCCTTCCTGGCCGCATTCCTGCGGTCGGATGTGCACCGCTGCCTCGACCTTCTCATCGAAAACAACCGCTTGCCTGAGGCGGCATTCTTTGCCCGAACCTATCTGCCCAGCCAGATGTCGCGTGTGGTGGAGCTGTGGCGCGAGGAGCTGGGCAAGGTGAACGAGAAGGCCGGCCAATCGCTGGCCGATCCAGCTCAGTATACAAATCTCTTTCCTGGGCTCACCGATGCCCTGCGCGTGGAGCAACATCTGCAGGAGGAGAGAACACGCAGAGTGCCAGCCCGCTTGGCTGGACAGCTTCCCTTGAATAGCGAGCGCAACCCTCTCGAGGAACTGAACTCGGCCGAGCGGCAGAGTGGAGGACAGCCGGAGGAGAAAATAAAGGCGGCCCCTGTCTCCGCCCCTGTTCCCGTGGCCAGCTCTGTTCAGGAAGCTAGCTCTGCCGCCAACGTTGCGGACGACGACGATGATGACGACCTCGACCTAGAGATTGACGGCATAACGCTGGATGATAACATCGATACGACAGATGTCAATCTCGATGATGACTTCTTAAGCGACGATTAGATGGAGCAGGGCAGAGGAGGTGGCGCTCGCCAGATTTAGAAATACTATAAAATTCTTCATTTATTGCTAGGGGAGTCCCACACGAGCATTTCAACCTACACAATTCCGCGCATGCAATCGCATTTGATTTGATTGAATGTTTTTTCCCGTGCATTACCTATACAACAGTAAAATAAATATATAATATGTACAACCAATGGAGCAATAAATATATTAAACACATACGATAAGGCGGGAAAACGATAACAACAATAGTTATCGCTAGGGAGATTCGCGGAAAAATGTACCAGCAAACAAGGAACTCAATAGAAAGAGAGGAAGGGTACATAACCCGTTACGGGAGTACCCTTAACTGACCGCCAGAGCCTGGAAAGCTGATTCACTGATAGACATTAAAGTATATTAAATAAATTAAACATGTCTATTCTTGCAGTATCCTGTAATGAATGGTAAGTGGTTCAGGTGAAAGATAACGTGGTTATTTATGTTTTGTACAAGCGGCTGTATACTGTTTAAAAACAGCGGGCTAACTCAGTTAAGTACGCTATTTTCTCGGTATATTAATGGTTTTTTTTTCTAACATGAGAAGATATAGATGAGAAGTTAACCTTGTTTTGCAATCAATCCAATAAATATAAGTCATACAAATTAGCCAATCTTGTGGAGAATCAAATGATGATTTGGGTAAAATTTCAATTTAAAAGCTGAGAGTCTTAATTAGCTGGTAATATTTAAAAGAACATTTAAGTCTAGGAAAATGATTTTAGATTCATGGTAATTTACAGAATATTTTGAAAATGAGGTGGTTATTTCGGAATATATCCGAACTTCTATCGATATATTTTATCGATAGTTCCGCGGTCAAGCTGAATAAATCCGACCACGACTCGATTTTTCTGTATTTTATTTAAAAATAAATTATTAACCAAGGCGTTAATAAATTATTATTAAATAAAAGGCAGTTAAAATCGGTCATCAGCCGTAAGTAATCAAATCCCACCAGAGGTTTCACCACACTCTGGCAAGCGGAGCAGTTTGGCAGCTCCGATTCGCACCCGAGTCTGAGCACGGCCGTAAATATTGATTTTTCAGCAACATAAATTTTCACAGTCAGATACGTATGGAATACAATTTCGAAAATATGGAGCAAACAAACTACCATGGTCACGGTTTGTCACACCAGCTGCAGAACATGCATCATCAACAGAACCAAAACCAAAACCAGAACCAGAATCAGGTACACCAGCAGATGCAGATGCAGCGGCCGCAGCAACTGCAGCTGTCACAAGATCAGCAGCCATCATCGCAGCACCCAATGCAGCAAATGCAGCCACCGCAGCACCCAATGCAGCAGCAGCAGCCACTAGGGCATCCGATGCAGCAGCAGCAGCAACCAACATCGGCGCAGCCACCACAGACTGGCTTTGCTCCCCGTCGTCAGTATGATATTCCGGGCAGTTCTGCAGCTGCTGGCTTGACAAATGGCAACGTCGAAGGGTCCATCACAAGAACGCAACGTTCGAGCAAAGTCAAGAAGGAGAGGTCGTCGACAGGACAGCCACCGCAATCGCAGTCTCAGCCACAGGAACAGGCAGAGCAGCAGCCGATCCAGCTGCAGTTGAGCGAAGTAGATGGGGGGGCATCATCGACCGACGAGGCAATCGCTTTTGTCAGCGAAACCGATGCCAATGGGCTGGCCATGAAGACGCCCGTCAGCATACTGCAGGAGATCCTCAGTAGGCGTGGCATTACGCCCGGTTACGAGCTGGTCCAAATCGAAGGCGCCATACATGAGCCAACGTTTCGCTTTCGCGTGTCATTCAAGGACAAGGACACACCCTTCACGGCCATGGGAGCCGGACGCTCTAAAAAGGAGGCCAAACATGCCGCCGCTCGTGCTCTGATTGACAAACTGATGGGCACCCAGCTGGCCGAGGCTACGAACAGCGCCGCCGCCGCAGCTGTAACTGATCCTACGGCCCCCGGCAGTGGTGGAGATTGCCCAAATGCAGCAATTGGCGAGTAAGTGTAATCCCCGCAAAAGCGTACACTATGGAGAGAAAAACATTTGGTTTTTGTATCTGCAGCGCCAGCGATAAAATTGTGGGCAATCCGATTGGTTTGCTGCAGGAGTTGTGCATGCAGCGCCGGTGGCCGCCGCCATCGTATGACACTGTAACCCAGATGGGTTTGCCGCATGAGCGGCTCTTCACCATTGCCTGCACCATACTGCAGAATCGTGAGATTGGCAAGGGGAAGAGCAAGAAGATTGCCAAACGATTGGCCGCCCACAAGATGTGGAGTCACCTGCAGGAAACGCCCATCGATGCAGCCAAAATACCAGACGTCTGCAACGAGCTGGAGGGCGATGTGAGTACACCACAGAACTTATCTTACACAAGTGTCTCTGCGAACTTGGAATTGCTTGAGATCTAGAGGGGGAAAATATTTTAAAAACAAAAGAAACGAGTAGGAACGTGTGAGACGCTTCTTACACGTCACAACTTTTATACCCGGTACTCAGTAATAAATCTGTACCTTAGTGGATTTTTAAAATTTTACATGTTACATTTTTTTTACATATGTCATCTACATACATCACTTCTCATGCCAACACGGTCTCTTAGCTCGCCCCTCCTTCCCAAGAGCCGCACACTGCACGAAGCAGAGTGTGGAATGAGAGAATGTGCAAAAAAAAAGCAGCTGGACGGGGTGGCGGTAGCCAATGCAAATTAATTTCTTCATTCTTCAGAATGAATAATGATCCAATCTGATCCCAATTCGGTAGGACAAATACAGTTTACCCTATTTACTCTTAGAATACCGGGTATAAAAACATGACACACGCGACACTGCATGATGTTGGCAATTTTGTTTACCATAATATATTGTATATTTTCTGTCAAATGTCTATTAAATTGATTGTAGATCTAAACCGTTGCATTTTATTTATATTTACACTTTAACAGATTTATATTCCTTTACTTCTGTTTGTTGTGTTTAAGTAGTTTTGTTTCAAATTTGGTTTCCTAGCTGCAATTATTTGTTGTCTAAACTCTTACTCCCAAGTGATATATTTCAACTCACCATTTAACTCTTGAGATTGTTTGTGGTGTAACGAATTACAACGAATTGTAAAAACAGAAAACGCTGCGCTCTTATTTACAGTCCCGCACTAACGATAATTATTATGGTGATTTGAAAGATATCACTGTGCCGACGCTGACCACGCAGCACAGTAACAAAGTGTCACAGTTCCACAAGACCCTGAAAAATGCGACGGGCAAGAAACTGCTTAAACTACAGGTAATTGGCACAGCAGCACTCTTTACATTGCATTCTACATGAAGTTAATATATATTTATTCTATAATCTTTTCATTCATTTCATTTCAGAAGACTTGCCTGAAGAATGCCTCGGTTGATCATCCCAAGCTACTTACAGACATTGCAGCCGAGAACCAGTTTGAGGTCACCTACGTAGACATCGAGGAGAAGACGTTCACGGGTCAGTTTCAGTGCTTGGTTCAGCTGTCCACGCTGCCCGTGGGCGTTTGCCACGGCACTGGGCCAACATCGAGGGATGCTCAACGCCACGCCGCTCAAAATGCGCTCGAGTATCTGAAGATAATGACCAAAAAGTAAACAGCAAAAGCAAAATTCAAGCGCACATCGATTCGGTAGTTCTTGTCAAACAGAACTAGGTGTTTTTCCTTATCATTTATCCTTCCCGTTTTCTTATATATATTTACTTATATTCGGCAGTTAAATTTGATTATTTACGTGTGCAAAATGCCGCTCAGTTTTTTTTACTATTTAAAGCCCATTGAAACGATTTGAAAGTCTGTAAAATTATGAATAAAGAAAAGTATAATAAAGATACTACAGAAACCAGTGAATCATCGATAGATTCTTCTACGGAGAATGCATAGAAGATAACAGATACAACAACCAAATACATGTCCTGTGCTGAATTGTTTTGAAAATATGTATAGCTTAACAACAAACTAAAATACAATAAAGATACTACAGAAACTACAAGTCTTTGCATTTCGTGGTCAATATAATAAAGATAATACAGAAACTGCACGTCATCGATAGATTCCTTGTGGAGAACGCTTAGCAGAGAATATACAACAACCCAATGCATGTCATGTGCATGAAAATCTGATTTGAACACCTGTAAACTTTAAAAACAAACTAAAATGCACAACAGATACTACAGAAACTACTGATCTTCGATGGAGAATGCTTAGCAGATAACACGTCGTGTGCATGAAAATCTGCAAACTTTAACAACCAACTAAAATGGCATGAAGTACTACCGAAACTACAAGCCCATTAGGCTGATTCTTCTATAAAAACCAAATACATGTCGTGTGCATTATCGATACACATTTATGCTTCACACTGACAGGTAGACAGTCCTTTATTTAAAATTGTAAACGTACTTAATCTAGCTAGCGACTAAAATTATGTTTCTACTATTGGCGAATTGTTCTATTTCTTTTTTCGATCCTGCGTACACTTGGGGCAGAACCACTTGCCCTTGGGCTTCGTTGTAAGACCGACGCAGGCAAAGTGGAACCATTCGATGGGGCACTGCAGAGAGAGAATAGACTTAAGTAAGAGGTTTCCAAATGGATTGGTGGCTACACTCACATCGGGATTATCGCAGCCAATCATTTCGCCATAGGAGACCTGATGGCATAGGCAGTACGTTGGTTCATTGGGATCCACGGGCATGTCCATAACATCGCTGGGATGTGTGGCCGCCGTATGGCAGGAGTCCTTCTCCGAGTCATCCGCCTCGACGACTTTCTGTGGGTTCAAAGGTGAGCAAAGAGTGGGCAGTGAGTAGGGGATTACAAATGGTTTGACACGTGCAAAGATAGTGAGGGAAAAATGAGCAATGCAACTGATAGAAATTATGAGTTGGGAGTGGAGTTGTGTGTGGGGAATCTATGTGTTTACCGGGCAGGAGGACCGACTACTAAACGACAGGCAAATCTCAAACTAAAATTCTAAATGAATTAATAGACAAAATGTTGATGATGATGAATTACCTTTTGTGCGCCCCCCTTGCGTGTTTCTTTTTCTTGATTTACCTTTGACTTTTTCTTTTTGGTACCTTGGCCACCAGCATTGCTGCTAGAGTTGAGGCTGACGTTGGCATTGGTTTGGGTGCTGCCACCACCGCCGCCGCCACGACCCGTTTCCTCATCCGAGGAGGCGGACTTTTTCTTTTTACCCGTCACCTTGCTATCCTTTGCCTTTTTTCGACCCTCTGCAATGACCACAAAATATGACAAAATGCACTCCAATTGGGCTCGGCCCACACTTACTTTTGGCCACAGCTTCCTCGGATTTGGCGCGCGTGGACGAGGCCTTCTCCTGTATCTCCCCCTCGAAGCGAGCCAAATCATTGTCCAGACGGCGTATCTGCTTGTCCACCAGCTCGTATGTCTGTATGGCCAGCTGAACTTTGTCGTCGCTGTATTCCTTGGCCTTGCCAAACAGCGCCTTGATATCCTCCAGGCGCTCTTTGCGCTCCTCCTCGCACAGCGGCCCGCTCTCGGCCAGCTTGCGCATAAAGTCTTTTGCATGGCTGTCAATGCTCTTCATGGCCGTTTGTGCCCGATCGTCCAGTTTCCGCATTAGCTTAAAGTTTCGCTCCAATTCGGTGGGCAGACTCTCCAATCCTGCATGAAATTGGTTACACGTAGGCACTTTGACGCAATTAACAAGCTCACCATCCAGATAGTTTTCCAAGTACATGGCGGAGGACATGTTTGTGCCAAGCTTTGTCGAATATATTTATAGATTTACAAATAAATAAAGGAACAGCGTCTATTTACGATGCAATGCATGAACCAGCTGTTCATGAAGTAACTAAATAAGGAGGTCCTATCGGGCACGTTTGTCACGTATTTATGCAGCTTATGAGTGCGAGTGAAACGAAACTATCGTGTGATGATTAACCCTATGATGGCATGTCTACAAAAAATTAATAATTGTTTATTGGCAGAAATCGAAAGGTTATTTTTAGCGCTCATATACTTAATGTGGGGGGTTAAAAGAGTTATAAAACAAAACGAAGCATGAACAAGCGAGCACGCCCGGAACATTTAGTGACCGAACACACCCGACCGGACCTCCTTATATACTTACTTCATGCAGCTGTTTACTTCGTGCCAGAGTTGCCTAATGACCAGCGTGTTGGTATATTTTCGGTCACACTGTTGTTAGGATTCCCCTGACCATTAAATTAAAAATTGAAATGGCTTAAAATAAAAGTAATTCTCATCCCAAGAGGGGTAAGGATCCCCATATCTATCAAAACTATCTCTCCATCTAGGTATTGGCTAAAACTCTCAATCTTATGTTCAAGAGTCGCCTCTTAGAAAAACGTAACACCATGCCCAGACGGCTAAGCAGCAGTGCTCCCAAACATTTTTAATGTAATAACGTAATAAGCAACATTTAAGTACCCTTAAAGGGAAGGATGTCCTCGAATTGAGAAAATGCTGGAAATCTTCGGCTCTATTCAATGAAAAACAAGTTAGTCTGCGTTGGAGAGACATCTTAACAAATTTTGCATAATATGGATACATAGAGGCATTATTATGTTTACAGGGTACACAAAGGAACATACTACTGGGTGGCAACAAATTGTCAAATAGCGTAACAAAACATTCTAAAAACGTAGCGTTTATTTATTTCGTGTCTAAGTCTTTCAGCTATATTGATATATTTGTAAACAATCCAATAAAAGAAGTAATGAAGAGTAGGCCCATCTTGTGGCGAATCTATTGTACAATCGCGGAAAATTGTATTCCCAAGGCTGTGAGTCTTAGTTTGATGCCAATATTAAATAGAATATTAAAATCGAGTAAATATGTCATTAACCGAGACCGATTTACCTTCTGTTGACCAATGGGTGTTTAAGTGCAAACTAAGAAATTAATGAAACTTATAGATCTTTAACGCAGTTTAGCTGAATGAAACAGTGCCCATTTACAACCAGTTTTATTTTGTACATTTTTACACAGTGCTTACCTATTTAAGAGGCGGGCGTTTAGTGTGTTAAGTTTGAACAGTCACTCGGAATGAGCCATGCTGAGGGCATTCTTATTCGCTATAGCGATTAAATACCAAAACAAAACAAAAAATAATTTTACTATACAAAAAATAAAGGATGAACGCTACAATGGGGGGATCCTGGATTAACGCGATCTTTGATGAAATTGCTCTCGAGGGTCTCGAGGGCGTCACACTGCCAGGTAAGACACTCACCACCCGCTGAGACATTTCCATTTACCGAGTAATTTGCGTGTTGTCCATAGACCTGTGGCGTTTGCTGGCGGTGCGACTGGAGTTCGACCCTGCCCCGCTGCCCGACAGTTTCCGGGACCAGGTGTGGACCCTGCTGCAGCGCTCTTGTCCCGGCAAAGTACAATTCTATGAACTGCCCTCGCCGCGACCGTTTTTGCCGCCTTACGATCGCGCCAATGATCAGGATCCGGAGCTGGGCGTTGCCATTGTGGCGGAGCAGTGCCCCTATCTGCTGTACCGTTGTACACACGTGCAGGAGGGCAACATAATAGGCAGTTGTGAGAACTACAAGACACGCAAGCGTGTGGAGGCGGCACAGCTACGCTCGCAAACGGCCGCCCAGGCGACGGAGCACTGGGACCAGCGACTCGTGGCCGTGGCCTCACAGGAGCTGCGGCACATGGCGCTGACACCGATCAACTTGATGACGCCCAAGGACATGACCGTGCAGCAATACGTGTGCTTGGAGGCCATAGGACGCTCTCGCTATAATGGACTGACGACAGTCGGTCCTTATGGTCTGATCAACTACTGCAAGGACGCCAGCGTCGTGTTTTACATAAAGTGAGGAGTTTAGTCCAGCAGCCAGTTTCATCCACAATTGACCTGTTTTCTCTTGCAGGAACAAGCTGCTATCCCTGCAACTGATTGCCACCCAGGTGTACAATGAGCGGCACAAGGGACGCTTCACCAACTCGTCGCTGCTGATGTTGCCACGATTCTTTCGCGTGTACAAGAGCCACACACAGAAGAGCATCGATCGGTTGTATCTGGACATTACGCAAAGCAGGAGCGGCCACATACCGATGGTCGAGGTGCCCGAGCGACTGGGCCACATCAGTCGCAAGCAGGTGAAGAAGCTTCTGCTGACACACAACATTCGAAAGTTCTTCGAGACAAGTCATGTGCCGCGTGTCGCCCCAGAGGCAGCCAGCTCCAGCTCCAGTGAAAAAGCAACCAAGGAGCCAAAGCCATCGAAGCGCAAACAGATTGTGCTAAAGCTGAGGAAGCCCGATCTGGCGTACGAGGAGCTGTATGAGCACGATCAGGATATCAGGGAGGAAAAGCAGGAGACCGAGTTCCTCAACCATCGGCATAGCTTTGTGGACATGCCGCCGGAACTGGAGTGCCATCGGGCAATTGCCAAATTCGGCAAGCGTGGACTCACCGCCAGTGAGCTGTGCCAGTACGTGGGCATTGGCATGCTAGCGATACGCGGCTTCCTCAAGCATCTAATGAAGCACGAACAGGTCAAGGACTACACCGAGCAGGTGGGCCGAATACGCGTCATCAGGTACGTGGCCAAAGCACAAGCTCCCGAAGTTGAACTAAAGAAGACCGAACTGAAGCAGACTCTGCTGCAGCTGCAGTGCAAAGATGAGCCGGTAAGTGCGTCAAGAGATGCCCCCATGATCCTTGGTAACCTTTGCGTGTCACTTCTTGCAGACTATTCCTGAAAGCTCAGAGGGAATCTTTCGCGACACGGTCGACATTGTGGCGAGCGTGAATCCGTTTAGCTTCAAAATGAAAGACGTTCGACTGGAGAGGCAAACGCAGCGGCATCTGCGCCGCAAGGAGCAAATTGTGAAGCTGATTGATGGCAACTGCATCGTTCATCTGATGACTGTGTCGAGCAGCATCAAAAAGGAGGAGCACAAAGCCGGCTTCAAGGACATACTGTGTCGGCGTTCGCTCTATCGCGTCCTGCGCACCATGATCGACGCTGGCATCGTGAATGTGCACGAGGTGACGCTGCAATATGGCCAACGTCTGCGTCTTTATCGCTTGGTCACGCATCCCAAAATCGACGCCGATCATGAGCTCATCCGTAGGGAGATTCTGCGATTGAAGAGTCACTTCCATCTAATGAGCGAGGAGCGGCTGCAGCGACCCTCACAGCTGCCGCTAAAGGAACGCAAACAGTTGCTGCTCAGCAAGAAGCAGAATGTGGGACGGCAGAAGCCGCAGAAACCCAAGATACCAGCGCCGAAGCTGCTGCTGGCGCGAACGCTGCACGATTTCCTCTTTTACGTGATCTACGAGCTGCCCAAGGAACAGAAGCCACTGGAAATGACAGCGGAGCTCGTGGAGCAGTGGCAGAAGATGGAGCCTGCGCTCGAGACGCGTCAGTTTCTGGATGAGTGGCGAGCGGACGAGACGCCTGTGCTGCCCTACAACTCGGAGATTAGCTGGCGCACTTTTATACCCCCACTGCCCAGCTATGTGGACAAGCCACCAGGCTGGGTCTTCTTCATGGATGCCATGGACCGCATGCCGCTCTCCCTGCTCCTGCGCATATGTCGCATTGAGCGCGAGGACAGCGCGGAGCGACTCCGCCTCCCGCTCAAACATCCCATCCGCCAGCACTATCTGCTCGCTCAGCTCAAGCTGGAGAATATTGTCTCGCGCTCGCGCCTGCAGAAGCTATACGCCCGCACCCTCTGCCTGCTCAACCACATGGGACTGATTCAGGTGAGCGATTTGCACCTGGGTCGCGACTCTGTCCATCGTTGGGTGTATCTGAATAAGCGTGCTCGGCTCCTGGACACGACTGCCAGCAGCGAGCACAACTACCAGAAGGTCAGCGCTGATCGCACCTACATGGAGCTGCGCTTTGAGTTCCAGAATCGCGACCAACTCGCCCAGTACTGGGCCAAGCTGCAGCACATTTGTGTCTACACCAAGTTGGGCTTTCGCAAGGATAAGAAGAATCCAGCGACACGCGTCAAGCCGCTGTCCTTCTTTGGTCCCGAACGCTTCGACCAGGCAGCGGAGCTGGACAATGGCACGGTGCCGGGCGACCAGTTGGGCGCCGCTGGCCTCAGTTCGCTGCTCTTTGCCCATCAGTTCCGCAATTGGTCGTGGGTGCAGACGAAGCCGGCCAAGGGAGGAGCCGTCGCCGCCGCTGGAGCTCTGAAAACGCGGAAGCTCGGCGCGCTGACACGCATCAAAGTGACGCCCAAGCTGCCGATTCGACGAGCTGCAGGCGGCACTGGAAGCGGCGTCAAGGCACCGCGCAAGAAATGCGGTCCACGGGATGACATTGATCGGGATGCCATGCGGAATATGCGCACATTGCGCGTCCGTTGGCTACCCGAGGAGGATCGCGTGCTTAAGATGGGACGCGCCGTCTATCTGTTCTTCGATGCTCCCGTGATGGCATTTGCCCTCAACAATGTGGGCCTCGTGTGCCGCGACATTATTCGTCGCTATCTGGGCATCTGCAACAAGACGACGCAGGCCTGTGTGCGTCGCCTGCAGTTTCTGATGCGCATGAAACGTGACGCACCGGATGTGCCCAGCTGGATATACATGATGCAGACGCAGCCGCAATTTAATTCGATCTACAACGAGCGATTCATGAGCAGCCTGAGGCGAGAGTATGCCACCAAATCGGAGCAAAATGATGCACTGCTGGTGCACTTTGTGCTCGTGCTGAACAAGCTGCATCAAACGATCACAAACTCGGTGAGGTGCCCCCCATTCCCAGACCAAATCATGATTCTATCTGTTCCTTTTACCTTTTACAGCACGGCACTGTGCGGAATCAGTTTATGCTGCCCGACACGGTGGCTGAATATCGAAGCCAGTTAAGCGAGTGCAGCCGCTTGAACGATGACCAGCAGGTGCTGTACAGCAATCCCAGCACGGAGACGGAGCTGCAGGTGGCCACTGCGCATGGTGTGCTGCACAGTCAGGTGTGCTGTGCCCGGGACAAGACGCTGTTCAATCTGCAAACCTTTGAGATATACAAACACTTCTCTGAGGAGGTGCTGAATACCGCGTTCAACAAGGCCCGCGCGGACTCCCTGCTGGTGGCTGTGAAGCGACGCAACATTCATGCCGCCTCCAATCGACAGATCTCGGGCCCAGCCCACGTGCTCAGCTCCAAGTACAAGTACCGATTGACCTACTTAAAGCTGGCCCACACCGTGCTCGATGGTTACTTTGAGTTTGAGCAGAAACTCAACCTGGAGAAGGAGGTGCACCTGCCGTCGCCACATTTCGCGCAGCTGCTGCTCCTGGGCGAGTGGATGGCCAAGGGTAAGCTGAGGCTGTCGTTGCATTTGCCAGCGAACATTCTGACCGTGGACACCACGAGCATGTCCCGGCCGAGTGGTTCATCGACCGACCGCATTCTGGATCACTACAGCTGCATCCTGGACAATGCCCCGCAGACGGAGTACTCGAAGCGACTGGAGAGCGAGTGCAGCAGTCGCCAGGCGTCGCGGGTGCGCTTCCATCCGGCCAATCTGAGCTATCGCATTCAGTCCTGTCCGTACATTCAGCTCTCGAAGCTACCACTACGCGTCATGCACTTCTTTTGTGCCTTGGATGCTCTGGGCGATTCGGTGACCATCAGCAGCTCGCGGCTGGAGCAGGGCGACTGCCCCTTTGCCAACTGCATCATGCGCAGTGGCAACTATCTCAATGCTGTCGAACGGATTGTCCATGAGCAGCGAACGCTGTTGAAGCAGCTAGTGGCCGATGCCCTGCCCCAGTCGCAGTTCCAGCTGGAAGCCCACTCGTCCGGCACGGCCCTGACGGTGAGTGTATCCAACATTCTGGCCCTGACGCAGCAGCTGGAGGCCTATTGGCGGCAGCAACAGCAGAAGCTGGAGTGCAAGGATCTGGGCAAGTTGCTGTCGGAGAAAACTCTCCACAAGCTGACCGACTGGCGAGCGCTTTGCTCGGAGCTGATTGACTACGAGGCGCACATCTGGGAGGCAGAACGCTCGCAGGAATTCGAACCGGCCATGAACAAGGAGGAGCGCGCACGAGTGCAAGACGTATTCGTGGTTCATCTGCCGGCCATTGGCATGCACGCGGCACAGCAAGAGGATCTACAGCAGGCCAAACAGACATCGGATAGCCTGCGTACCACTGTGCTGGCAAAGGTGCTCAAGTGAGTGGGAATAGGACAGGGACAGCGACACCCAACTTATTGTTTGTTTCTTTACCTACCAGGGCCACGTATTGGCACTACACGGAGAACACCTTTGAGACGCTTCTGCCAGCATTGAAGGAGAGAAACTTTGATGCCAATGCCATCCGACACATGGAGGACATTCTCAACTACATTGAGCGAGAGCCATTGGGTGTGCCAGCGATGGAGCTGCGAGAGACTTTTCCGCTGGGGGAGTTCCTGCTGGAGGCGCTGCATGTGCTCGAAGACCACGAACTGATCAAGCGGGTGGGCGTGGCCAGTCACATGTACGTGCACAAGCGATACATACGCAACTGGGTGGTGCACACGTTCCACATCAAGCGGTTGGAGCGGGAGAGAGTGCAGACTCTGGTGGCGGCCGCACCCGGCACAATGCAGGCAGTCATTGGCCAAAAGCGCAAAGAGGAACAGCAACAGGCGACAGAGGAGGCGAATCCCCCATCGAAAAAGATCAAACTGTCAGAGCCCAACAGCAGCGACTCGGAAAGCGATGAACTGGCAGCAGAATCTGTGCCCAAGAGACCCAGAAGAACCACCAAGAAGGATCCACCCTTTGTGAACGCTCTGCGAAATGAAGCATCGCACGATGCAATTGTGATGCGACCGCAGCCATGGATACGGTTGAATGCCTCGCTCAATCGTCGCGTGCTGGATCGCTGGATGGGCGCCGTGCTCAGCGAGTGCATTTCCCGCATGGGCTGCACCGTCCACAGTTTGTTTCTGCGTTTTCCGTATCTCGTGCCCGTGGACGTGATGTTTCTGCTTGAGCTGCTAACCGATTTAGGTTGCCTCCACTTGATGGAGCTGCAGACGCACAAAGTCCACGTGGAGACCACGCAGGATGAGCAGTGCGGGGAGCAGCCAGTCACCGAACTGTATGAGCCCAAGCTCACCTATATTATTGTCCATGGCGATGCTATCGGACGCCTCACCAGCTTCATTGGACGCAAAAAGTATAGCACCGAATTCATGTGAGTTTAAGCTACGATCTTTGTCCCTTTTTGGGCACTCAATAAAGTTGATCCACAGAAATAACTTTTAAAACCGCATTGGCATTTTTTTTTGTCAACTGCAAATTTGCATTTGCAGCGTTTTAATTTGTTGTTTCACTTTGTTTCCTTAAATCTTGTTTAAAACATTAGCACTTCACTACCGTCTCGGGTCTGGGGTGTTGTTTACCGCTTGCCACCAACGCGGGGAGCAGACTTCTGCGTAACCTTGGCAGCCTTCGTCTTGGGTGCAGACTTCTTGGCGGGCGCTGGGGCGGACGCCTTCTTGGCTGCCTTGGTGGCGCGCTTCTGTTCCTTGGCGACCTTGATGGCCTGATCGCGCTGGGCCTTACGAACCTCCGGCTTCATGTTGCGCTTGGCCATGATCTCGGCCAGCGAAGCGCCGACGATAGCGCGCTGGAATTTCTGTGTGCGGCGAGTGCGCTTCTTGGAGGCCTCCTCCTCAATGCCCTTGCGGTGCTTGCGACGGTAGAGCACGGTCCAGGTAACCTTGCGCGGGTTGCGCTTCATCAGGTAGGAGCGCTCGCACTTCTTGTCCAGGAAGGTGAAGCTCTAAAAGAAGCCAATCGATTGTTATTACTCTCATTATTGGCTGATATTTGATTTGTTTACTTACCTTGCCATCGATCTTGACCATGGTCTTGCCATGGCCGGGGTAGATCTTGTACCCGCTGAATGCACACAAGCCAATCCTGAAAACAGATGAGAGTATTCGTTATTAATGGTACAACTTTTGAAAAAATTGCATCAGTAAACACAAGTTGGCACTGTTTACTTTCTGTTGGTGTATTTATTGCCGGCCTAGGTTCAGTGATGCCTATGATTTTCTATAATTATTTTTCAACTTACTTCATCTTGGTAGCTAGCGTAGAAAAGAAAAGAAAGCGGAAGCGCGAAATTATCGATAAAATATACCGTCAGGGCCTTGTAAATATACCGTAACATACCATTGCATCTTCAAAATATACCGTAAATATACCGTAGTCTTAAATCAGATTCCTCGATTTGGTTATTACTAGCTTGCAAAGACTTTTAGCACTGAAACAATAATTAAGTCCGATTGAAGAATCAATTTTGCTTATTATAAATACTCTTTTTTATTGGATTGTATACCTTATGGCCTAATATTTTACAAATTTGTAATTGAATTTTTCATTCAAATCACCCCCTCTGGAAGCACGGAAGCTTTGTCTTCAGTATTTAAACTATCCTTCATAATTCATTATATATATTCATTATAATTCATTATCGTCTAACTAATCACCTATGGAAGGTGTTTTTTTAAATTTTATTTCTTTTGTTGTGTCAATAAACTAACAGATAGAAACGTCACCAAAAATTCCAGTGGCGCCAGGTAAAATACACCAGCTACTTCAATCCTCCAGGCAACTAGACTTTCGCACGGTTGCAATTCTAGTGGATTTTTCAGTATTTTTTTTTATTTTGGTATTTGTCTTCAGTATGTAAAACTATGTATGTAATCTATTAACAACTTTAAAAAAAACGGCGAACACAAAAAAGGAGAAAAATATATTCTATTGTTTTTCTGAAAGGGAGAGAGAACGAAAACATAAGTAAATATTATAATGTTCTCGGAGTGGTTTGGGGTGCAGATTTTCTATCTTTACAACATAATTGGGGCTATACTCCGGTTTATACATTGGAATTACTCCATTCTTTTGCTAAGGAACACCTGATAATGATGAAAAAATCATCATTATCGCTAACTAATCACCGATTTCTTTGATTTTATTTATTTTATTTTTATATACACTCACTCATTTTCTACTCCTAGTGGCCAACCTTCACAGATGGATGTCCATCCGCCGTCGGAGCCTCCAGCCTGGTAGCTGCCTCAAAAATGCATACCCCTGTCAATCGAACTTCCCGTCCTTCTTCGCGATTCTCTAGTATCCAAAGGTTTGAAGCCGTCTGCATGGCCTGAGCAAACTATTACGCATGAATTCAACCTATTTGTGGACGACCTGCCTCAAGTTATGTATTTTGCACTCTGTTACATTAATGTACGCTGATGACGTTAAAATGTATTTTTCCTTTTCCGACTGGTACTTGCATACTCGCCTACAACTTTACCTTAATAAATTAATTTGTTCGAATAAGCTACTTTTCTTGAACCATTCTAACATTCAACTGTATACCTTTCACAGCCGTGCTCCACATTGTGTCGCCAGACCAGGGCTCCGCAAGGCCTTATCTATTATCAATCTGCATAGGACAAGGCTCTGCCGCGGCGCTGCCGCTCACGTACAGTGATTCGTACCAATACCAATATTTCTGGTCCCGTTTTGCGATTCTTCGCACAAAACGTCGCGTATGGGTGCCGAGCCCGCTCCAAACCTATAATTTATAAAATATTTATTATAATATTTAATTTATATTTATTCCTATTCCATATTCCATAGTCATAAACGAATATTTTTGATGCTCTATTTGATATTTCTAGCTAGTTAGGAGTCTTCCTGATAAAACTCTAATTTTATCCGATGTATCATTCAATTCTCCACAAGATTGTCTGGTTTTCACGACTTCCTATTCTTCCAACCAACAAAAATAGTGAGAGTGGGAATGGAAATGTAAAATTTACATGTAGATTTACATTAAGCCTCAAAAAATAAGTTTGCTAACAAACAATTGCTAGCGGAAGAGGGTGACCACTTCTCAGGAAGCCGTTACCATTAAAATGTGTGAAAATTATATAAAAGGTTAATAAAACAATGAATGTAAATTGGCGGCTCTTGCATGATAGGAGGAGGAGGAAAATCAGCTAAACAAGCAAAGACAACTTTGATTAATCCCATAACTTCAGGAAAGAAGCCAGGACTGTCATTTGTCTACACATGTGAGTATTATAGATCATAGAAATATGTGTATATGTATCGAAACCCATCCAACAATACGCTCTGCACATTCCGCAGTTTGAAAGTATGACTCAAATGCCATCAGTAATCTTTGAGAGTTGGCATATGTATGTCTGGGAAAAACATCTGCATCCTTCTTTGATTGGTGGCCAATGGCCTTCTTATTCAAAATTGGATAGTTTCGAGTCAAAATCGTAGCCATCGCAAATTGCTCTGTGGAGCAGTACTTGGTCCCGAAAGGAAAATATCGTAAAACATTTGGTAAACAGCCCAGTCGGGTGTGTGTCTTGGCAACATGAAGCAACTGACGTTCAAATAAGTTAGACAGATTCAAAATGCAAATAAATTCAATATAATCCATTGTCCATAATAATTTGTGTCTTTTTTTTTCGTTGATGGCGTCAAGCCTTTCTTTCAATTTATCAATTTAGCCATTTATCTTTCAACTTCAACGGCATTGTTGGCTCCATTTTCTTAAGACTTTACTCTCTGTTTGCTAGGTACCCTCTCGGAATATGAAACAGATCTATATTTGTCGAGCTCGGCCAGTTTTTAACAGCCGCTAGAAAGAAGTTTTTCCCCGACAACATTTCTTATCGGTTTCATACGAATATCATCCCTGATTTTTCTAGCGGGACCTTTTTTTTTTCGATCTGAGTACTAGGCTTAAGACGCGACTGAAAATGATAACACGTTTTATGATCACAATGTTTGCTACAGATTCGAATAAAGAATTATGGATATCGAAACTGAGTGAGGACTAAATATTAATCATTAAAAACTTCATTTGATATTTGATAATACAAATATATTGATTTTAAGAAATTGTAAAGGTGTAACAACCCCAAGAATAATATGGTAGCTTGGGGATTAAGTGGTAGTCACATCCTACGTGAATTATTAGTTATATTAATATTATAATATTAACAGACTCTAAATTTAAATGTTATAAACAGATTGTCATTGAAAAGTAGGATTTATGCAACGTCGACGCATCTATGAGCTGAGGTAATATTGCGTTAGGAAATTTTTGAATTATTGCAGTCTGGCAACCTTGAAGGGACGCCATTTCAAAACAAATGCGCGGCAGCAAACTATTTTCGCTGATAATTTGGTTACAAGAGGAAAAAACACGAAATATTCAGATATAATGGGAGCAAAAGCATCAAAAATTGAGGGCGAATACTTGCCAGATACGCCAACATTGAATAAACTTCGATTAGGCAGTTGTAAAGCCGAAAATATGGAAATGACCACACCAAATAAAGACAACAACGCATTGCTCGACCCACGCTCGCCCAATGGCTGCCGGACGCCCTTAACTGTAAGTTATAGCAATTAAATTAAACAATCTCGAGATTAACCATATGCCGCTGCAGTTTTTACAGCCAGAACCACAGGCACAAACGCTCCGTGCAGCGGCTCAGTGCCCACCTGCGGCACCGACCGAAAATGCATTTTCGCAGCTGCGCAAGCGTCTGCTGAAGGGATTCTCTTTGAACGATCCCCGTTCTCCACAGTTAAATCGCACACCGCTCATATTAGATGAAGTGCGCTCCCTGAACCTGGATGACACGTTTGCAGATCTCTTTGTGGACACACGCGCTCCAGCCCGACCAGCAGCCAACATCATCATCGATTCGCCGCTATATCATAGTCTATCATCCCCGTCGGCAGGTGAAACAGGCGATGTAAGTTGCGACAGCTTTGGCACGCCACCTCAGACACATGAGCAGCACAACAACAGCTCGCTGGAAATTGTTTCCCTTCCATATGATGGAGAAGAGACCATGCCCTGCACGGTGGAGCTGCCAGGGACGCCGCTAAAGCCAGCGCAGGGGCACTATGATCCCCGTTCCCCGAGCATTGGGGTCGAGCGGACGCCGATCATGTTCTGCGACGACGAAGAGGAAGAGGCTCGCGAGACGGAGATGCTGGAACAGATCTTGGAAACGCTCACGCTCAATCTCAGTGCGGGGAGCAGCATGGCCTCCTTTGCCAGCGCCGGCACCGGCACGAATATGGAGGAGCCTCAAATGTCAGGCAACTCTGAAAAGCAGCCCGCAAACAAGCACTTGGACCGAGTGCGTCTGGGCAACAAGCGACGTGTGGCTCCACGTAAGCCGGCGCGCGCCAGCAAGACCAAGATCTTCATGGACAAGGAGTCGTCACCCTCCGGTGCCAGTACACCGAAGACCACGTCCCAAGGCACACCGAAGCGTACACCACTCAGCTGTGTCAGGAATCGGCAGCACCTGCGCTCTCGCTCCGTGGAAAGGGAGCTGCGCAAATCGCATTTGCCGCTGCATAGCTTTGATGATCAGTTGAATCATTCGGAGCGTCTCAATGGGTCCGGCCTGCGCAGGCCATTGTCGAGCACCGATGGCCAGATGGGCGCCATGTACTAATCCTATTTAGTAGTTTCCACCTGCCTTATGCCCAGCCATGAGCTACCAAATCATTATATCTAATCCATATGTAACCATATTCATTTCATTTTCAAATACATCATTTTATTTCCGTGCTTTTACTTAATTTGTTTGACTATATAAAAAGATTTTAACGGTGACATTTCCAATTTCTCCCACAAAGCCCTAGTTATTCATGTTTCCCCTGACTCTCGCACTTTCGATTCAAAACAAAACTGAGTGAAACGGGGATGGTCATTGAAAAATATCAATTCCCTATTTCTTTTGATAATATATTTTATTCGTGAAACTGATAATAATAATAATTTTCTTTGCTGGTTATATATTTTAATATACCCGGTACACGAAGAGTAAATAGGGTATTTGTCGTCGAAAGTGGATGTACATACATATGTAACGCACAGAAGTAAAAGTTTCCGACCCCACAAAGTACAAATGTATGTATGTAGATATATACATACATACATTCTTGATAAGCATCAATAGTCAAGTCGATATACCCATGTCTGTCTGTCCGTCTGACCTTGGCTGCATTCAAGATTCATCCATTTCTTTGCCAGCAAATTTTGCATCCAGACTGCTGTGATATCACACTGATACAAGTGCCCCCTTGCGCTGTTGGTGAGAGAAGTTCTGAAGATGTAAAAAAAATTACATGAAAGTCACATAAATATGCACTTACATACAAACATATATACCTACTGAGTATAGGGTATAAAAGTTGTGCCTTACAACGTACGTCCTTGTTTTGGTATATTTTTGGGGTATTTCTGTGCTCATATTTGTTCATTTTTGAGCAAGGAGTAAAATTGTTGACCTGTCGGCAAGGTATGTCAAACAGGTAAAAAGGACGAACTTCAAACCTTCCTCTCACCTCTCACAATGTACGCCTGAATTTCTAACACTGGACACTAACTTCGCAACGAAGCTTGCTTCCTGAAAGGTGATTTAAAAGCTCGATGGTATTCAAAAATGTATATAAAAATGAACTATGATGAAATGAAACTGCAGAGAAACGATTCAACAATGAAATATAATAATCCAACAAACTTAAAAGATGTTATATATAATAGCAGGGCTCATTGGAAAACTGCTATTTCTCTTAATTTAATATTAATTATACAATTTAATTATTGATTACACAGACAGATTGTAAATAAAAAGAGAGAGAAAAAAAAGAAAATATAATAGAAATGTTTAAATTCAAACATACAATGGCGTTAAGGTTTTCCAATTCAATTCCCCGGTTCCATTACTTTCGGGTATGATTCCCATGCAAACAATAATAAATCAGCTCTGTTTTTTAATCGAACGAACATTTAGCATCTATCTATTCGCAGTTGATTACTCAGATCAGCGGAAAATATACCAGAAAACCAGCCAATTGAATACTAAAATACCGGAGCAAAAGAAAGACAATATCTTTCTTCTTTCGACAGATTCAAGACACGATTAAGGAAACAATCAAGCACAATGGGGGTTGAAAAGAGCATTAAATGAAGAAGACTCAACACTTATTAGTGCAGTCGAACGAAAGCCCATTATATGGATATTATAATATATTAATCTTATACTCGGTACTTATTTTATTAATTTATGAGGAGATAAAACCTATGTTTATTGCATTTCTGTCCCGCCGGAACGGACTTATCCAATAATGCGGTGCTTTCTAGATGCATTGTTTTCGCCAAACTCCATATCCACCATGAAATATTTAGCGCACCTGAGTACTCGGCTTAAACCTTGAAATGTACAGGCCAGTTTAAAAAAAATATTAACTTTAATGCAATTAAACTGCAGAGAAACGATTAAACAATCGTATAAAATTATAGTTTTAGCGCTGAGAATCCAAACTAGCTGGTAATATTAAGCAGAATTTCAAATCGAGAAAAATGTTATGACACACGGTATATTTACGGTATATTTTGAAAATTAAAAGGTATACTTCGGAATATTTCGGAGGGTCAGGTGGTATATTGTATCGATAAATCAGCGGTCACACTGCTGTTGCTGCCCGCGCGTCTTACCGTGTAAAAAATGTAAAAGCAGATTTGTGTAAAAGCCAAAAACAAATGCGAACGGTGAACGGTAGCAACATAAGTGAGTACAAAAAAAATAAGACAACAACAAATAAAAGTTGTGAAATAGTTTTAGCTGCTATCGCCATCGGTGGCAAGTGGCAAGTGGCAGAGGCGATAAAAAAATAGTTCTTAACAAAAAACAGGTTTACTGTGCTGCCAGCAGAGTGCGCGAGTTACAGTGTGTGTGTGTGTGTGTGTGTGTATGTTTGTGTGCAAATGTTTGGGCGCAAGGTCCCCACTGTGCTGCACAGTGGTCAAACTAAACCCTAATGTGCCCCACTGTAGGCTAGAACTTGTTTGGAGCCCGAATTCAATGGGAAGAACCGTTTTTCCGCCAGAGCCGTTAGTTTTTCGTTGCCTCCCTCCCACCCCTTGCCCATCGAATTTCAAGCAGCGTCCCCCTACACACACACACGAGTCACAATCAGCTGGCTCTGCAGTCGACGCAGTTCGGGGCAGCGGCAGTAACAGAGGCAGCACCAGCTGCGGCGTCGGGCACCTAGCAACAGCGCGACGTCCAGGAGCGGACTTGAAGCTGCCTTCAGACTGTGGCACGTGCCTGGTATAAAGCGGTAAAAAGCGGCAATAGGAAAATTAAAGTTAGGGATTGCAAATTCCATCTAAAGCAGCTGCTGGAATACCCTTAGTATGTAAATATGTGTATGTATTTTGGTGGCACTTGTTTTTTCCTCTGATGGGCTCCATTCCAGACCTGCTTTTTGCTGCTGCTGCCCCCGTCAGCTGTGCGATTACTGCGCAGGCGCCACACACAAACACTGACGCACGCACTCGCGAACAGCAGCAGCAGCGGCGACAGCAGCAGCCACAGCAGTCTTGTTACTGCCTGACTTTGGCCTGCAAAATTGCATTGCTGGCATCCCGCTCGCACTCACTTACTTTGGCAGTAATGCTGCCGGAAAACGGTTCTCTGTGCTCGGTGCTCGGTTTTCGGTTTTCAGTTGTCGTCACTTGGAATACCCGTAGTACCGTAGTGTCGGTAGTCGGCTTTACATAAGTTGACATCCACATACCCGCGAGCCACACACAACGCGGGGCACACTCCTCTCGGCTATAGCTCTGACTGTGGGGACTCTTGTGGGGGCTTCAGTGACCGGCTGCAGGTCCTTTGCACAAGTTCTGGCCGCGCTTTCATTTCCACATTGCGAAATCAGCTGCTGCCAGTGTGTGACGTCTGTTGTTCAGTTACTTCCCCTCGTTTTCCCCACGGGATTTTCCTACTATTTTCCTACTGTGTGTTTTTCGATTAGTAATCGTCTTTTTTGGGAAACCGGCTCTCTGAAAGGTTCGCATTAACCACCATCATCATCATCATCATCATCATCATCACCATAATCAGCAGCAGCAGCGAGCAGCGTCGACAGTTTCTGTTTTTTCAGCTGTTCGCTTGGCTCGAAAAAAGTAGTTTAACTTCTTTTTTTTACTATACTTTAATTTGTCTTTTTTTTCTATTATTTATCCCAACTATTTGCCGTTTGCGTGGGTCACTTTCAAAAGCGTTTTTTGTTCGTTCCTTTTGTGGTTCCATCATAAAAGCCAAAAACTTGATTTATAATCACGTACGTGCGGCCAGCAGTAAATCAATATTAAAACAATATAAACCGATCGAAGAAATGCCTTACCAAATCAATTAATTTATATATGTATGCACAAAGCCAAATGCAGCCAAAGTGTTAATCGAATAAATCAAAAACAAAAAAAACTACAGAAAAGACAGAAAATCCATCCACCAACATGTAAGGCAACGCAGGCAGCTCCGCAAAGTTGGCTTTTGCACCCGCCCCCCGCTCCAAAGATGGCCGCCAGGATGTGCAGCAGCAGAAGCAGCAGCAGCGTTTCCATCCTCATCATCTAGCTGCAGCAGTGGCAGTCTCAGTCGCAGCATCCATGCAACATGCCAGCATATATACACACATACAAATGTATATGACCAACGCACACATTCGCATAGTCCACTCTTAAAGGTGAGTAGTACTTAAAATTTTAAGTTTTAAATACTACTCTGCAGTCGTAAAAATTGGGTGAACAAAGAGTCCCTCCATTTAATGGCCAAGCAGCAGCACAAGAGTGGGAGTAAAAGTCGAGTAAAATTATCAAAAATGTGGAAGTTTTAAGATACATACCTGTATAGGCAGTTTTTTATTGAAACAAATTTAATTTATTTTTTTAATTTAATTTAATGCTTTAAACAACTAAACACAAAATAGTCCAGAAATTCGTTTCAATTCGTTCGAGATCGCATTCGAATATTCAAACAAATATTTTGGGCAACCAAATATCTTTGAAAATTTCTTTAACAATTAAAATGTTAATTAAAAAAAAAAACTCAAAAAAATTTTGAAGATGTCAAAATTCAAACAAGTTTTCGAGTCTTAGTTATTGTAAAAGAGAACCTCCCGCATTAAGCCTTGAATTGTTGTTCTGTACATAAAAGTATTTTTGTGGAAACCTTCGTCCATCAGAAACCCCTGAGATGTGTCCAATCAAGAGAATCGCATGATGAATGACCTCAGCACACACTCCCCATCAATCTTCGCACACACACAATTGCCTGTCTGACTCCCCCGAACCGGGCGGGCCCCGGTTGATATTTGGCTTGGGATATTCTTTGATATTTGGCGACTCTCGTCTCGTGAGTTTTTGTTTCCCTTTCGCTTGCGTGCTTAGAGCATCTCAAAGTCTAACATTTCTTTTTTCGGCTTGGCCTGGGCAGGCAGCACACGAAAAATCTTGGTGGCAAGCGCGAATTTTTACGACTATTTCGCTGGGAGTAAGACTCGAAATTGGAATCGGATTCGGACTCGGACATGGAGCTGGAGCTGGTGGCTGGAGGCTGGGACCTGGTCAGAAGAGAGTTCAAACCAAGTGGAGGGCAGCAGCAGTGGGGCTGAGTTTTTATTTTATTTGGTCGCGAGCCCATTGAAAAAAGCTCGTCAAACCAGTCGCCGCCGCCGCCGCTGCTGCCGTTGTTTTTGCTCTTGCTTTTCCTAGGCCTGGCCTGGCTTGGGTAAACTGGCCCCCGTTGATGACTTTTTACATAGCTGTTGGCCCGATGAGTGAGAGAGAGACGAGCGCTGGGATGGCTGGGCCAAAAGATACCAAGAGATACGAGAGCCCAAGCCCAAGCCCAAGCCAAAGCCAAAGCGCACACCCGACTCCAGACTCTGAGTCCGACTCTACTAACAGACAAAACACACGTATCTAAACTTGTTTGAAACGTGTTACATTTTAAGAACGTTCGCCGCAAGCGGCAAGTGGCAATAATCCTTTCAAACTTGACAGCGTTGCCATGATGTTCGGTACATGGTGGCAAAGGGCTTCCTCCACTAGCAGTCCCGAGTGGGAGTGGCACATTGACTGAGTTTTTTTTTCCTGCCTCACATACATATGTATGTACAGCCATGCATGCATTCAAGTATCTATGTATCTGGGGGGGGTCGCTATATGCTATATGCTGGCTGTCATTCGTTTTGGTTTTTCAGACATTTTGATTGCCGGTTTTGGGCTGCTTTTGTTGCCATCATTCTCTGCCTCTCCATTTTCCTCTACACACAAACAAAATACAAGAGTCCTTTTACCCAAATCCCACACAAAATAAAACAAATCCCAAACGAAAAGCTGCTGCCTGTCAGGGAGCCGTCGAAGACTGTAGATACCCTGGATACGCTGTTGTGAGCCGCTGTACAAATATTCCATAAGCGAACGGAAGCATTAATTTGAAAAGTCACCAGATTCTCGGGGATTCTCTTTTAAATTTTTCACTTGTGTGTGTCTGGCTTTCGATTTATATTCTTCCGTCAAAGATAGGGTACAATAAAGAGTGGAATAAATAAAGTGAAATTGATATTTTCGCACAAATTGCCGTTAACAAGTATGGTCGTAAGGGATGGGATGGAGGGGGATTGGGAATGGGAACCTAGGCAACGTAAAACGAAATATTTCCCTGTCAAAATTTGGTTGAAAATGTTGTGCAGCAGCAGAAGCAGCACGGAACAGGAGCAGGAGCAGGAGCAGAAAATCAAAATAAATGAGAGAGAAATAAAATAAAAGCGTTTTGCTTTGGAGAGGTGCAAACGGAGAGGAAATTGTTTACCGTGGTTCCAGAATGATGTAATTTCGCGTGTTCGTGCAATTCAATTTCCTGCCGGCGGAAGCCCGCATGTCGCTCCGAGTTCTCCGACCCATTGGAGAAGTCAAATATTCGTTCTACCATCCCATCCATAGCTTCAGAGCTCTCTCCATCTCTCCAGTCAGCCCCAGGTCTAATAAAGTACTGTCCAAAAAATGGTTTGCCAATTCCACATTTCTTTTTGTCTTCTTTAGAACTTTAATTGTCCCCTCCAGAGCCCCATTCCAAAACTGAGCTGCGGGAAATGGAATATGCATGTACATAAATATCTTGTCGTATATTCAATTTGGTGAAAATCTGCCATCTAAACAGTTTATCCGTTTTAGACAGCCTCCCTCCGCCCCCTCTCATTCATGGCATTGGCAGCAGTCAATGAAAATCTCTTCTTAGGGTACTCTTTGTATAAAGCAAAACCGTACCAGAAACATTATTTAGGGTTCCTTTGCTTAGCTAATCGCTTTGTCTTACATTTGGAGGACTACTTCATTTTTTATATGTTTTAAAAGAGAAATATTTCCATGCATTGCTTGTGATATAGAATGTATCTTTATTCCACAGTTTCCTCGATTAAATTTGTTAAAATGGTTTTAAACTTTTAAACGCTTCTCCTCTGCCAAATCTGTTCTAAGTGTATAAAGAACTTCGTTGAATAGAATTTTTGAAGAATATTTTTGCCATATTTCGCATAAATAAATTATATTCAAAAGACCGACCGACCCGACCGAACCGACCCCCGGTCAGGGCCTGCCGCCTGCTGGCAATAGCCGGACATTCGTTGGTGTGTGAGGGGAGGGGTGGGGAGTGGCATTGCCTATATTAACAATAATTCCTTTGTGCCCCGGGCATCTTGCCAAAAAGTTGTGTGGCAGTCAGTGGCTGCCTCCTGCCACACAGCAGGCGACGAACGTTTTGTGGCCAATTTCCCGTACCCAAAAGCACAGGCACAGGCCCAACCGACGCTTTTTGTGTGTTCTGACCCATTGTCCAAGTCCAAGTACAAGTTGAAGTCAAAGTCGAAGTCAAGTATAGCCGGACAGGGGCCGGACACAGGGCCTACTCTGCTCTCCCTGTATGACGTTTTGTGTCGGACTTTTTTTAAATACAAAAGTTTTTGAAATTTTCAAACTCTCGAGCCCCGAAACCCCCAAAATCTGGCAAATGGCAGCCAGCGGCGGCGGCATTGGCGGGAAGAAAACGGAACCTTTACCTCTGATTGAACCTCGAAAGAAGTGGTCCAGCAGCGAGATTCTCGATTGGCTATTCGTTTGGTCACTGAGCAGCGAGCAGAAGTTGCGAGAGGCCGAGAAAAACCTGCTCGGTCATTTGGCCACACCATACCAGTGCTTTTACATTAACATCGGACATGTGGTGGGCAAATCAGACAGGATCTGGACACTGGCAATGAACACCGAGGAAACCAAGCATGTGCCCCTGGTGGCATTGCATGGCCGCGGCTCGGCACTGGGATCGTGGCTGCTCAACCTGGACGCGCTGGCTAGCCAGCGACCAGTCTTTGCCATTGATATGCTCGGATTTGGTCGCAGCTCTCGTCCCATGTTCTCGGCCAAGGCGGACCTGTGTGAAATGCAAATGGTGCTGGCCCTGGAGTTGTGGCGCGAGGAGATGCGTCTGCCGCAGATGATCCTCTTGGGGCACTGTCTGGGCGCCTTTGTGGCAACCTCTTATGCCCTGGCTTACCCCCATCGGGTGAAACATCTCATCCTGGCCGAGCCCTGGGGCTTCGAGGCGACTCCCTCAAAAGCCCTGGACATGCTCAATCTAATCTCGAGCTTTCTCAATCCCTATTGGGTCCTGTGGAGTGTGGGTCCGCTGGCCAGCATTCTCCTCAACCACACAGATCCCCATCCGCGTCTCAAGGAACAATTTAGGGCGCTCTTGGAGGACGATTTGAATCACTATCTGCAGCAGTGCAAGGCGTTCGATCCCAGCGGCGAGTCAGCCTTCCAGACTCTGGCCCAGGGTCAGGTCTCTAGCCATGTCCGGGAACACTGGCAGCGGCAGTCCCTGATGGAGCGCACCAACGAGCTGCCCAGCAACGTGGGCTTCACCTTCATCTGTGGAACACAGTCCCCCATGTACGCCCTTCCCCATTTGGCCATTGTCCAAGGATCAGGGCACTATGTGCATCTGGAGGAGCCCGAGGAATTCAATCATCATGTCCTCACCATTTGCCACACCATCGATGTATGAAGCAGGACAAACAAACTTTCGTTTTCGGACTAAATTTTAGTGTAAAATCCCTCAAAGAAGATCCCATAAAAAATATGCTCATTGAAAGTGCTGCCGCTGTCTGTTGTAGATGTAGTAGTAGCCGCCATTGAAACGGAGCGTGGCCACATCGTAGGATCCTGTAGCACCAGCGAACGGATCTCCGGCAGCGCGTGCCACCGTGGACGTTAGGTGGAGGGTGCGATAGAAGAAGGCCGTGAGGAAGCTGGCACTCACAACAAAGGCCACAAAGAAGCCCAGACAGAAGATGCAATCCTTGTTGATCTGCAGGCACAGACAGAAGGCGGCTCCAAAGTCCCCCAATGCTCGCACAATGCGAGCGCCCAGCGAGAGTGGACCCTGCTGCGGCACCGCATTGGCAGGATTACTATTCGCACGGATCTGTATGGTGTGGTGGGTGCGCTCACAGGGTGGCCTCGTGTCCGGCTGGTTGTCCGGCGGCGGTGGCGGTATTGCTTTCAATGCCACACGCTGTCGATGTGGCTGCCTGGTGACTGCCGTCTGGGTGCCCAGATCGCAGGCAATTTCTGGTATCTGAATGATCACCGCCGTGCCAGGATCCACCCTAACTCTAACTGACTCTGGTTCGTTAAGTTCCTGATCCTCGCGCCTCACCTTCTCCTCGATTACATCCAGACGGATGGTAAAATTGTCGAGCATATCGATAAGGTGATTCAGGCGACCAGGCAACTGTGGCTTTTGTCTTTCCATGGCGCCCTGTTGGCTGGTGCTGGGCAACTCATTCAGGTTGGGCTCTGTTTCTGTGGCACCCACAGTGGCATCCTTCAGCTGGACCACATGACTGACATTATCTACAGCACTAGTGGTTTCTGCAGCGGCGAGACACTCTTCTGCTGGCGAAGACGCATCTTTCACATCTTTCTCCGTCGTCGTCGTCGCTCTCTGAGGGTCCATATTGTTAAATTCGAAATTTTGAAAGGCTCTGCCGTCGTCTGCCAAGTCTCTGAGTTATATTTCCGTGTGACAACTGCCACAATACGAAGGAACTTTGACTGACACCTTTGCCGGATAATAATGTTAGCTTCGGTATTGTGAAACAAAAAAATCCTTTTCGAACTCTTCCAAATTCCATCTGTGAATGTTAACTACTACATGGCGTGCAGAGAGCCGCAAGAAACCGATTTCATCGTTAATCAGCTCATTAGCGATCTGGTCCTGGATGCAGTCAATAAGCCAAAACCTCGGAAATCACCCTCCCCATGCAGATCCTCCACCTGCCAACGTCTGTTCGATATTTTGGGCTTTCAGTCATACACTAGTGAGAGTGATATTGATGTCGATGTCGATGTCGCAGTCGATGTTGATGTCGATGTTCGTGTCCATGTCGAGGACGATAGGAGCAGCCTCGATGCGATCATCGCTGCCAGTTCCCGTACTCTCATGAACAGCCTTCCATCAAACGGTGATCGCATTGCCAATTGGCACAGTTGGCTGTCCGAGGCACTGGCTGAAGGTGAGCTCATTCTCTCTCTCTCAGTGTGGCTTAGCGAGAAACAATCCCTAATTCGATGCCGTGATATCCACAGAGTATACCGAGGATGATTCAACCATCTATAACAAGGATGAAGCCCGAAAGTCTTGTTCTCGGGCCGTGCAAACGGAACAGCCGCGTCTCACGCGATCCGATCTTGGCTTCAGCGTCTCGGGAGATCGTGTCTTCCTGCCCACACCTTGTGAGCAGACGCGCCAAACGATCTTCATCGATACGGTGGCGCCGCCGGTGCCAAATGTGTTGGGGCGACCGCCGCTGGCCGATCGTTTCTGCTACATGTTGGCCGATTTCGCCTCGGCTCTTTATTGCAGTCTCGCCATTATGTGCTGTTGCACCCCCACTATGTTGCGCTAAACAAATGAGAGAATGAATGAATATTCCCCAGTGATGAATTTATCCTGAATTTAATAAAAAGCAGCCAAAGACTAAATATTTAACGGGGTGGCTCAACCGCAATGATGTGGTTGGTTAGGAACTTTCTGTAGTGTGACAACAGCAGATAGAGGCACCAAATGCACAGCAAAACGAACAGAACGTAGGGGAAATTTTCGCCCAACATGAACAGGCAGCCGATAAAAGAGTCCACGGCATTTAGAATGATATGCCACAAGCGGTGATGCAGTGGTGCACGTTGCATGTCCGTGGCCGATGTCACCGACTCCACCTCGATGTGGATCGTATGCTGCTGAATCTGGCTGGGTTTTTCCCCAGGGGCCACTCTGTCCTCCAGTGCCTTGGAGTCGCTCTTGTGTTGTTCCAGAAGAGTCCAGGATGTTTGAATGCTCACCTCGCAGCTGGCGGCCTGAATGGTGCGCTCCGAGTCAGAGCCAGCCGAAAGCCGTTCACAGAGATCTGTAGGATAGAAAGATTGTAGATTAGGGATCCATTTAATGGTAGTATCCGCACAATTACCATGACTGGGAACACGATTCAGTTGATTGGAAACCACGCTCTGATGCTTCTGTGCTCCTCCGTGATCCATGATCTTTGTGTAGCCCTCGAAGAGGTTTAGAAGTTCCACAAAACGTTTGTTGATCTGTTTGTGACTTAGCTCTACCTGTACCAAATAATGCGATGTGCTGCTGCTGCTGCTGCTATCTGATATCTGCTCAGCACAGTTCAGGGACACCGCACTGGGTGTATCTTCCGAAGCAGTGTCCGTGCGTGGGGACACATCTCCGAGACTCTCCTCCTTTGGTTGCAGCATGACGAGTGTCTGTTTGTGTGTGGCAAGTGTTTAGGTGAATTTTATTTCGTGTCACTTCCCAAAATGTTTGTGTGTGTCTGAACAGATAAAGGGTTGCCTGCTGCTTTATGTGTCCACTGAGCTTCGTTGGCTAGTGGACAATTTTTGCGCTAAATTAAGCAATTTCCTGCCATGTCTGGGTCGGAAGCTGGCCTCTTCTTCTGGGTCTGGGCTGCTGCCTCTAATCGTGGCCACTCCACTGTCCGTCCGTCCACTGACACTTCAGGCTCTTTCTCCCATTCTCTCCCTGTCGCCCGTCGTCTATGGATTTTCTGTCTAATATGACAATTATAACGGTCTAGTGCACTAATTCTATTTTGCATAAATGCATTTTTGAAGCCGAATCAAACGAAAGGGTCATCAGGGGTGGCCTCTGGGCGTGGGCCTCAAATGAAGTCTTCATGCAGCAGGTGAATGCAGCAGTGTACATATGTATGTACGTTTTGATGTGTGATGTACATACATATATATACGATGTATGTACATATATTGTTTGCCCGTCTATTGAACCCTTTGTCAGATAATTATAATTATTATTGGAAAAGCAAAGAATCAGTAATGGCTGAAGGGATGCGGATTCCCGTGAAATTCCTTCATAATTTACCATCATTGAAGTATGCATAAAACTCCACCAAAAAGTACCGTATTGCATCCCTCCCCCCACACACAGAAAAAACTTTCTTGGATATACAAATATAATAAATTAATGAAAACTTTTGCTCTTCCCCCCTACACGTTGCAACGCCCGCCCCTCTCACAATTCACTATCATTTTATTTTCTGATATTTACTCTCTCTTTTATTTTTTGAGTGCAAATTTTAACCACAATTTCCGTTCAGTTCCAAAAACGCTGACTCCGTTGGCATATTTCATAATTTGAGCGAGGGGAAACTTTTCGATGAAACTCCATTAAAGGCAGAGACATAATAAATTCATGGAATATCTCGAAATTGGTAGTAGTCCTGCTCCCTGGACAGGAGGAGGAGGTAACTGGTGGCAGACTACGCACATTTGTGCGCCATCTGGTGGATGGGGAAATGCCGGCGTTGTCCTAAGTCCTCCGGCTTTTGGTGTCCTGCGTCCAGTGTGTGCGCACCTGCTACTCCAGTGGTTGTCCTGTTCGAATGCATCTTCTGCCACTGGGGCCCATTGTTATCATTTAAAAGGCTTAAGTGCGCCAAAGATTTATATTTATATATTTGAAAGGGAAGAAAAAATGGAACAAGAAAACCAAACAACGCATACGTCCATGCAGCGAGAAAAATAAGATAAACCAACAACACTTTATTGATTTTCCTCTCGCATATGACGACCCTCTTTCCTTCCTCTGTGTTTGCTGTTGCCTGGCATGGCCTGTGGGCTCCCTTTACCCGTAGTGCCGCAGTTTTGTCGCCTGTCCAAAAAATAAAAAAAAAGTCATGGGGAAGCCCAGGCCCAACGCCTGCGCTTGATTCATCTGCCAGCTGATTGGTGTTTGTGCGAAAGCGTTGGAGCTGAACAACTGTGTGGGATTGTGTGGCCGCCGCCGCCATCCTTCCATACCCTTTGGCTGTATGTTACAGCTAATTTGTGTTGCCTGCTTTTGGGCGTGCGACCCCCTTGTTCACTCGCTACATGGATCTATAATCTGTACACTGAATATACATATCATCCATCCTCTTTTCACAAAAATAATTAAAATCTAAGCCTTCTTTTTGGGGATTCCTTTGAGTCTCCTCTTCTGTCCCTATAAAATTTATTTTGGCAATCATCCTGCTTATGCTGGTCCAGCCTCCTACTCTACAGTTTATGAGGTGTTGCTGATTATTCTCAGTCGGCACAAAACCCCAACAAACCCCCCAAAAAACTTGCAGCTGGCCAGCAAATGGAGTAGGCGTCTAACCGATGCCAAAAACTCTCGAGACTCTCCGCCTCGTGGCCATAAGCTCGTAAATAATATTTGTTTAGAGATATTTTTGCCTTAATGCTTGTTGGTTTCCTATTACTCTGGGCCCAGCTCGTTTATCATCTCTGTTCCCAGCTCAACTGCAGTTGCGGATGCTGCAAAAAGTAGTCCAGTCCACGCGCAGCATGCATTCAATTAGCGCCTGGCAAAAGAATTTAGATTTTCATCATGCCATTTTATCATCATGGCAATAATTTCTCAACACCAGCATCTGCCTTCTAACTTGTGCTATTTATCATAATAATCGTGTTGCAAGTTTGGTTACACTTTAGATTTGAAATGGTACAAATCGTAATTAGAAATGCTTATTTTGGGTTAAAATTTTGATCAGCAATTCCATCAGTGCAAACCATCAATATTGATAGATGCCAGACAGTATTCTTAGCATTTAATGCCTCTGTTTAGTTAGTGCTTCCATATTAGATATTCCATTTCATTTCATATAGTATTCCACTCAGCTCTCTGCACATACATAGAAAGATGTCCATGTCAGAGTCGCTTACAGCTGCCAAAGTCCTCAAAGCGTTGTCAAAACGTTTGCCACTCTTGGCTATGGCAAAAGGTAAGTGAAATTTCCGGGTGAATCCTCCCCAAGGTCTCATGACTCTCAGGCATCGCCTCGCCTGCCTTCTGTGGCAATCAGTGGCCGGGTAGACTCTTACCTGGCCACTTTTGAGCGCCTAGACCTGGCCACAACCCGAACACCCCGCTGGTTAGTTGACATTTAATGGCATTTGACACTCTCCACGGCGTGTCCTCAAGACAGGAGAAAAAACATCACAAGCAAATACAAAATATAGCTAACAAAAAAAAAACACGTAGAAAGGAGAGAATGGAATATCCGTAATGGAAATATTGCTAAGAAAATCAATAGAAAATAAAGGAGACAGCAGCCTGGCAGCAGGCACCCGGCACCAGGCAGGATGGAGCCGGTCGAGCACTTGCCTAATGAAGTTGTTGCCCAAGGAAGGGTGCTGTTGTCCCTGTAGAAGGGACTGGGAGACTAGAATAGCAGCAGGAAGAACCACTACACGGGGAGCATCCCAAGAGCAGGAGCAGGAGTCCTAGACAACAGCAATAACAACATCAATGCACTTAATGCTCTTGTTTGCTTAACTTTATTTGATGTCCTTGCCTTGCCTTGCTTATTTTCCCCCCGTACTTTGCTCTTCGCATGGGTACATGCGGAAAGAGGATACACTTCGCTAGAACATTCACTATGGCGGGGTAAACTGTACCTGTGACAACATTTCCAGCTATTTTTTTTATTTATTAATCCATTTAAAAACATACACGAAAACTCACCGCTGTTTGCCAAGCCACTTTGGGAGAGAGAATCTGCTGAAATTTGATGAAAGTTACTCCTGGAATATGTATCTTGTATTTTCCCTGCTGTTCCATATAAAAATGTCACACTAAAATTCCTCGCGATTGCTAAGCAACTCTGGGAGAGAAACCCCGTTGAATTTTCGTTGATATGTGATAAAAGTTACTGCTGGAAAATATACCCTGGCAAGTGTATTCGACTTTGGGTGGTTATGTCCATCCTTCATTTTAGTTTCTTTGGCTGTGTTTTCTATTTGTTTCCCCTCGACAACTACACACACACATCCATAGATGGTGTTTACGCAGAAGTCAGCTGCAGGAGCCCTCACAGAAGCAGTCGCCGTAACAGTAGCAGTCGCAGGAGCAGGACTCCTGGCAGCACATGTTGACCACTTAGACTCGCAGCAACAACAATAAACAAACAAACAAAAAAACGAGAGAGAGAAAAAAGCGACACCAATTTTCTGGTCTCGAGTGTAATGCATTTAGCGATGGTCGAGCACAATGTACGCTGTCCGATACGGCCCCCTCCCTGTCATGCCTGGGCACCGGATACTTTGCTTATTTTGCGGTCAAATTAATACCGCTGCAGGAGGCAGGCAGGCAGGCAGCAGGCTGTGGCAGGATGTCTGAAACTCGTTCACGTTGCATGTATTTTTAATTAATTGCGTGCCTCCCTGCCCTCGCTCAGCAGATGGGTAGCAGAAGTCTGAGTCGAGTTGATTTGAGTCGACCATGGCATGCCATGTCCTCCCATGTGGCCAGACCCGAGAGCCTGTTCGCTCAAGTCCCTGTTCCTTGTTGTCCTTGTAGTCCGTCGTGTGTGTGCTTGATCCTCGTACTTTAATAGGTTTATGTCCACCTTTTTTTTTTTTTGAGAATTTGTGTGTGCTGCATACCCTGTGCCATTGCGAACAGGATGAATCAGAAATTAATCCTTGGAACAGACTTTTGATTCAATTCTTTTGGGGGAATCATGAAGTTATAAATTATTAAATGTTCCAGAAATGTGATACAAATGGAAACGTGTCTACATTTACATGGAATTACAATAAAAAGCTGTGCAGAGTTACTCAAAATAGAATAGAATTTCCAACGAATTTCCCTTGAATATTTGTGATAAAAATGAAAACTTATTGAGAAAAGAGAGGAGAGGCTCAAGAGGCTTCAGCTATAAAGAATATTCCATCAAACTGAGCTTTTGGCACAGGGCATCTGACAGTCGTGTCGATTCATTCACATTTACGACTTGTTGGACTTTTCGTCTGGCCTGAATCTGACCGCAAGCCTGAGCCGCCTCCGTCGCTACATCATTTGCGGTTAATTGTAAGTAAAGTTCAACGGTATGCTCCAACGCACACATGCCCCACAGCACCACACCGACCTGCTACCCGCTCTCTTCCCCGGCGTTTCCCCACACATTCACATCCTGTGTTCGAGCCCAAGCAGGCGGTGTTCATTATGTCATAAGTAAGTCAAACATTTTGGATACGATTCGATGCGCTTCAGTCACACAACCCAGAGAGACGTATACGACATAAATATCAAATTTTTGTACGAGTTCATTGTCAGTTGATCTTCTCAGCAAACCCGTCAAAATTTTGTGAAAAAACGTTAAATGAATAGAAATTAGCGGAGCAAGCATGCCGGAAACTAAAACCAAGACGATCCCCACTCCCAGCGATGGACGCGACAACTCCGACGATGGCATGGCAGCCACCAATCAGCTGGTTGAACGCCCCCAACCGGCGCCACCGACCAACAGTCGCCGCCAGCCACGCAGTCATCTGTCACAGCAGGGACGACGCGACGCCACCGACTTTACGGCCAGCCAGGAGGTGAAGCTTAAGGCCGGGGATATGCGCATGGCCAAGATCCAGATCAGCCTATCCAATCTGCGCACCGAAATGGAGGAGACACACAAGCAGCTGCAGAATCTCTGCAAAACCATCAAAGTGGACGTGGATGAGGAGTAGTAGGAGCATTCGTTTATGTTAGGAGTACTGTTGCTGAGATGATATCTAAATTTATGTTAAATTCATGAAACAATTATGTACCAAACGCTTAAGAAGAATATACTAAAGGTGAAAAAATAAATCTGCGCATTTTTACAATTTCTTTAAACTCTTAAAATGGAAGAAATGCTGTGGGGTTTTTATTTTAAGAATGGCTGTCAAACATTTCTCTCGTTTCCAGTAATAAAATATTAAATAGTATTACTTTTTATTCTCTCTTTGTAGGCGGTTTTTCCCGGAACCTGAACCCGAGTTATTCCTGAACATAACTAAGGAGCATCTATCAAAAAGCATTCGGCTGCTGCTTTACCAGAACCAACAAAGAGGGAGAGAAGAGAGACAGGTAAACGAATGGACACGAATACATATTGTATACAAAAGTTGCATTCATATGTTAATACCCATAAGTCCCTGCCTGCTATGCCCTCACAACCCGCTCATCATATACTTACCTTCAAATCCCTTTCGAACTTTTGTGGGACGGAGAAGCCGGGGGCAGCGTGATGGCTTGATTTAAATTAAAAATTTATTGCATATTTTTTTGCGCCACCGCTCCAACATTGCATATTGCTTCCTGCTTGTGTGTGTGTGTGTGTGTGTGTGGAAGAAGATATGTTCACGTGTGTGTGTGTATAAATTAAATTTGTGTGCGCCGGCGAACGCGCCCAGGGCCAACAACCGGCAACATGCATGAACATGCCATGAACTCAAATTTCCAACGTCAACGGGTTAAGGATGTGTCCTGGTCGGAAGGGACAGGTACGAGAATATCGTGGAAATGAGAGGAAGTGAAGGGAAGGCACAGAAGCCAAGGAGCCTCGGTGGGTGCTCTGTCGAGTTGAGTTGAGTTGAGTCGAGTCGAGGCTCTGGCGGTCTGGCTGGCACTTCAGCAACCGTTTTGATTACTCGCATGTTTTCGCGTGCAACTAAATTAGCGCACGTGTAATCAAGTTCTGTTCGTTGCAGAAAACAAAAAAACTCAGCAAAAATATTCTACGAAGAAAATTTACATTGAAGCTTGTAGTAAGAACCTCCTTCTTTTTTTTCTATTCAGCCATCCAGTCACCCCGCTCTGCCCTCGTGCTGAAGGGTTCTCATATTTTTTCGGTGTTTGTTGTCAACAGAATGTTAAAAAGTAATGCTGAAAATGGGGAAACACAACATCATCAATCACAGCATAAAATATTAAACATAATGAGTGGGAAAATTTTGCACATAATACTCGTGTAGTTCCAGGCAACACAACTCTGTAGAGATATTTTATTCATTTTATCCGGATACATTATTCCGCTCCAATGGTTCATATTTAACGCCCCGCTTTTCGACGAGAAACTTGACCATAAAGTATTAATTGAAACGCCTTCTTTTGGGAGACAATCAAAGTGCAGTCCGATACGAAATTAATTTCTGGCACATAGCTTGGTATAATCTTTGTATCGATTGTGAAGTCCTTGATATAGAATTGTATATTCTGCAGGGGAAATTACATAAATATATGCTTATCACCCGCGATTAAGCGAAACAAACCTTTTTAAAAGGACAATGCAGGGGAAAATTTGCAACACGTCGCAGTTCATCGGCAATCATTTTGAGCAAATAGTTTGAATATAATGCTTCGAGTGCCTCGCAAAAATTAATTTCCATTGTGGTGTAGTTGGAAACCGTTGAGCCACGCTTAACACCAAAAATATATGCTCCGTTGACATCTTTTACCGTGTTGGCTAATGCAAACTCCACGGAGAATGAGCTGGTCACATGCGATTTTCGATCCAGACGACAGCTGACATTTTGCATTAGTCCCGGCATATGATTTATGCAATCCATCTTGGTGAAGTAGGCATCCATCTATGGATACACGAAAAATGGTTTTAAATCACTTGCAGTTATTATATGATTTTACATTCACCTTTGCCCGAGCATTGCCTATCAGAATGGTCCAAATAAACAGTGGATACACATTCATCCGCCAGACAACGTTCATTTTAATGGGTCCGTTCAACTAAACTGATTTTAAAATTCGTAAAATAGTGTCTCAGATACAAACGGTTTTCATTCCGCAAATGAACTTTTGATTTCGTTTTAAACGCTTCAAACCATTAAAAGCATTTTAATCACTGCCTTTATTAATAGATGGCCAAAGCTATTGTTGAACTACATACATATTTTGTGTCCATATTACATGGTGTTCAAATGGAATGAATGAACTTATTCGCAACTCAAACTGCTCGCTGGCAGATGGTGAAGGTTTTATTCGTTTTTAGCGAGCAAGCCCCCATAAGCCGTGTATCGCAATACGCAAACAATCCCTGTGTCCCAGGCTGATAACAAATGTTTACTTTATTTTGTGGGTAAATTAATATATGATATCATGACCATAACTGATAAAAATACGTACTTCTGCGAGCTATATTGTGTACGATACAAAAAGGGCGAACTAGAACAGATAGTCATAAAAGATTTACTATCACACTTTACTGCCAGTTGGCTGGACCATCGATACCGCTTTATGTACCTGTAGACATTAAAAAAGGTTTTTCATCATGTTGGAATTTATTTTTTCCTTTTTTTTATTCCATTTTTGGAATAATTCGTCCACGTGTTACGGTCCGTGCACCGATTCCCGTTCTGTGTAAATAATCCACCACAGATCTAAATGAACCAAAGGGTATGAATTTGGGAAATTCCTCTTCATCAATGTACATTTTGTCCATCGTGTAGTTAAAATTCTGTGGAAGGCGATTACTTGAATTATTTTCATCGAAACAGGCTCACCAACCGCTCAGCTCACCGCTTTGAAGGGACAGCTCAGATTCGAATGCTTTTTGAGACCCTTTGCGTACATGCTAAACAATCGATTTTTGTGACTATCCCCGAGGAAAAGGCAGGCATCCACTTGAACATCGTAAAGACGCATTTTTTTGCTGTTTTGCTTCGAAAAATCCAACGTGGCATGCGCACCCAAATAGTCGAGACTACGCTTTAGCACCATCTGAGAGTCGACGTAGCTCCGATTGTTTATCTGAACGATTTGAAACGCGAACGTTTCGATATAGTCCGGATCAAGCGACGATACGATGATCTCATCAAGGACTAAGCAATAGTTACGCTCTGTTCTCCCCTCCCTTGGCACAGAGAGTATGAAGAACCAAAAAATCCAAAACACAGTGCCCATAGCTAAGGGTGGAAATGTACTCCTACAGTTCGTGCAATATATTTGTATTTATTTGTCAATAAGGTCGGTCACGATATCATTATTTATATAGTGCTCCATTTAAATAAATGAATGAATTATAAAAATGTGAAAAAGTACTTCATTTTAATTGGATATTTATTTTATTTTGTTGTCATAATAAATATTTTTGTGTAATATCATAAATTACTCCCCTGCCTCGCAACCTCGCTTTCCGCACATTCTCTCCCCTTGGTGAATTGGTTATGGAAATACATTCAGAGAAAAATGCGACTCTAGGTGGGAAATTGTAAAAAGAAATATCTTCACATTCATATCTTTGTAACACATTTCTTCATACCCGGTACTCGAAGAGTAAATAGGGTATATTGTATTTGTGTGAATAACGATTGTATGTAACGCACAGAAGGAAGCGTTTCCGACCCCATATTCTTGATCAGCATCAATAGCCGAGTCGATAGAGCCATCCATGTCTGTCTGTCCGTCTGTCCGTCCGTCCGTCCGTCTGTCCGTCTTGTTTGTCGGCTAGTTCTCAGAGACTATAAGAGCTAGAGCCACCAAATTTTGGCTCCAGACTGCAGTATGCTCCCTCTGAAACCAGTGTATTTCAAAAATTAGCCACGCTCCTTCCGCCCCAGAAAAAGGGCGAACATGTCCGTAGGAAATGACCATATCTATCAGACCACCGAATTGGGATCCGATTGGACCATTATTATAGCCAGAATGAAGAAATTAATTTGCAGTGGCTAAACCCACCCCGCCCCGCAGCTTATATTTGATTTTTTTTCACATTCTCGAATTCACTCTGCTTCTGCATTATGCGGCCTCTGCCGGTTTTTAACGTAACTTCTCGTTTTTATTTAAAACGTCCATAGAGAACTATCATTCCATTTTTATACATCAACTGAGAATTCTTGAATATAAAATAGTTTCAAAATGTTTTTGATATTTAAAACAAATATATTCTTCATATAAACTGATTTCTGGTTGCGGCACGTGCACCATTCAGGTTTTGGCTATGGATTTGCCGTTTACTGTGAGACGTGCAGTTATGCCCTGTCTGGTTAAAAATTCGATGATACTTCGAAATTGTCCTAGCGGTAAGAACGAAGGAAATTTCTGCTCATCTAAGAACATTTGATTTATCGTATAATTAAAGTTCTGCAGATTAGAAATTATTAAATGGCATCTTAAATTCCAACACTGTTTTGGGACTTACATCTTAAATTATAATGTTTCTTAATAATTTTTGCGTAAATGTTCAACATACGACTTTTAGTTCCAGCTCCCAGAAAAGAGCAACCCTCAAATTGTTCATCATACAATTTGATTTTCTTATTGTTGGGCTTCCAAAACTCCAGGGTGTTATGTACACTCAAGGCCTTGAGATTACGCTTGAATATCAATTGAACATCGAAGTAGTTCCGATTGTTCAATTGGAACAGTTGACAATCGAACTGTTCTATCAAGTCCGGGTAGAGACTCGTCACGCTAATCTCATCAAGACCAGCTCATGGCAAAAGCTTAAAATATAATACTGACACGGGAAGCCAGGGGAGTCGATTAAAGAGCTCAATGGAGTTAAAAATCATTTCAATATTTGTCTAATCATTTGATTTGATGACTTGCTATTTGAGCTGTTGTTAAAAATATTCTAAAATATCGGATGGAATATTTATTATGCATGAAACGGGCGGAAGCATCTATTTAATTTCGTAATTGTTCCCAGACATAAATACCAAACAAATTTGTAGGAAAACTAAATTATTTGTATATCCGCCATCTAAAAGTACAGGGTATAAGACTCTAACAAATGCTGGGGGATGTAATGAATCTATGGAATCCATTTTATAGGTTAGAAATCCTTATTCAACGACTGTCTTCAAAATTTTCTTCAAATTGCACATAATGTTAACCTTTTAATTCAACATATAATATCAGAAGTCAAGGCCTAGGCACAATTTTACCGTGAACTATAATACGAACACTCAATTTCTGTTTGGTTGAATATTCAATGAGGGCCCGAAAGACGCCCAGCGGTATGAAGGAGGGCAGTTCCTGTTCATCAAAATAGAGTTGGTTAAACGTGTAGTTGAAATTCTGCAGTAAGCGATGGGAATAAAAATGAAAATTAATGTTAAATTTTTTCTTATCTGTCCCGCACTCACCGCCTTGAAGGGGCAACTCAGGTTGGAATATTTTCTTAGGGCTTTGGCATAGATGTTAAACAAACGATTCTTGTGGGACACATCGAGGAAGAGACACGCATCCAATCGTACGTCGTATAGTCGAATTTTCTTTTGTCTGCCCTTCCAAAAATCCAGGGCGGTACGTGCAGACATATCCTTAAAATTACGTTTGAATATTATTTGAGCATCGACGTAGCTCCGATTATTCCGCTGGTACAACTGCAACTCCAGCTTTTCCATTAAGTCCGGATCACGGTCCGACACGCTGATCTCATCGAGGATAACCCGAAAATTGCGCTGCTCTGTCATCGCGTCATTTATGACGAGAAACCAGCAGATCCACAGCACAGCACAGATCATGGCTAATGTTTCGAATATAATGCTGATTGAGGTGCAATTGAAGGGTCATGGGATTGATTTTCATTTTAAAATAATCCATTAAACAGTGTCCAATTGTGTCAACAATTAGATGTGCAATTATTTGCACATTTTAATATTTTTTAATTTCTCAATGTTCTGCTCTATATTTCAAAAGATTTATCATATCCAATGGCATGTATAATATGCAATAATTAGGTAGGAAGCACATAGAGCATCACTTTTTCTCTCCCAGTGTGACTTATCAGTAAAATACGTAAGTATTCAAACTATCTCCAAAGAATAAACCAAATAAAATTTATTAAAAGTCCGTTACACTTTCTGAAATCTCCTGGTTTTTATCGGAGAATTTTTCATGGTATGGTATGGTATTTTCCATCATTTATTTGAATCTAGTTCTTGGCTATAAATTTCCCCTGCGTGACGAAACGCGCACCCAATTGTTTCTGGGTAAAATATTCCGTGATCGTGCGGAATCTGCCAACTGGAATAAACGATGGTAGATCCTGGGTCTCCAATTGCCAATTGGTCAACGTGTAGCTAAAGTTCTGTGGTAAACGAATGGGAGTGAAATATGAATTACAATTTTCAATGGCATTTACTCACGGCCTTGAAGGGGCAAATGAGATTCGCATTTGCATGCTTTCGAAAGCTTTTAACGTATATATTAAACAGCCGATTCTTGTGAGCAGTTCGTAGCAGCAGGCACCCATCGAAACTAACGTCGTAAATTTTCATTTTTTGATTGTTTGGCTTCCAAAAGTCCATGGCAGTGCGTACACTGATTTCTCCGACATTCCGCTTGAGCACAAATCCACAATTCACGTAGCTCCGATTGTCCTTTTGGAACAGCTGGCAATCGGCCCTTTCGAAAATGTCAGGCTTCCAGTATGTTAAGACGAACTCGTCAAAGTGCACTGTCATTTCCTCAGCAATGACTGGCTTTATGAGGCTGATGACAGATGAACTGATGATGATCCGAAACAAAGTGTTCATGGCTAACGTTTATGCTATAATGCTCGTTGGAGCCAACAGAATCAGCTGACAAGCGACAAGCGTTTTATTTTGCATAATTATATATTTATTCTATTAGTCCATGGATGGTTATTGATATAGAATGGTTCTATAATTTAAATAGTCCAAGCGGAACGTACTCGCTGGATCTAAACTATTACAAGATATCACTCAGCTGCTTTCTGATTTTTTTTTTTGCATTCACCAGCATTCTCTTATACATATACATATTTCGCTCGTGCCTCTGAATATGGGAAATTTAAGTTGAGAGAGATGTTTATGATCATATGTCCAGTTTATTGAGTGGCCAGGGGACCAGCGCAATCCCAAACCAAACTGCATTGCCACAAATTCTTGGAATTAACATTGGCTATTCATTATGCTCTATTCAATCGTCCATCCAATTGCATGTGAGCTAGAGGCTTTGACTTGTGCTGAAAAATGAGATTCATGCGGAAGGAGCATTGCGGCAGGAGCTCGGGCAGAACTTCTTCGTTTAAATAGGCGCGAGTCAAAGTGTAGTTGAAATTCTGTTGAAGAAAGTTTAATAAATATTTAAGGGATATTTTCTTTTTTTTTCCTTACCGGCTTAATGGGACATACGGGTTTCGCATTCACAAATGAGGCAAAACTATTGTAGAATATACGAACAAATCGATTCCTGTAAACATTGCTGATAACATGACAGACATTCAATTTGACATCGAAGAGCCGCACCACCGGCATTCGAGGGCGACTGATGTTCATTGTAGAACGCATCGTAATTTCGTTCAGCGATCGATTGAAAATCAGGTGTCCCGACAGATAGCTGCGGTTCTGCTCCTGCTCCACGAAGGCACTTTGCGATACAATTATTGTGGCATCATCGACCACGAAGGTGAAATAATCCACATGCAGCACATAGGCAGCAAGGCAGTAGCTGAAATATCCTCCGACTACCAGATATAGACGGAGTAGCGACATCTGGTCTACTTGATAACTGGCCTACTACACAGACAAAACTACGATACTGCCTCGTAAAGGGAGATGGGACTGTGGGACTGGGACTCCATTGTGCCCGGCAATTATGCGCTGCGATGGCGTTGACGATGGCGATGGCGGAGGCGGCGGCCCTAATGGCTTTTTAAATGGTGTCGTCTGGTCCAAATTGCCACAATCTCTCAATATGTCAACAATGAGTATTCATACTCGTCGTACTATACGTATACTTCATACTTGTACATTTGTACATTAATAAATTCTTGAAGCTTGTTTTTTATGTATTTTTTTTTTTTTGGTTCTTTGAAGCGCATTCAAAAATGCAAAAAAATACAAAAATAAAAATACATTCGTATGCACTAAAGAAAAATGAAAATGTTTCACGTTTGTGGAAAGATTGCGAGTTGAGAAAGCGGCTAAATACATACACATAAAAAGGGGTGAAAAAAAAATTACCAAACACACACAGTGAGAGGGGAATGAAAACGAGTAAAAAGGGAAAAGAAAGCAAAAGGAAATGGTATATTAAGCGGGCATAGACGATAATTGTACCCTGTTAGCTGTATGAAACCGAAATGGAAGCCAAGAAAGGATGAAATTACTAATGATACAAAGATGCATATAAACTAAAGGTCATCAACCAAAATGATTTAAAAAATGAAATTTTTAAATAATCCTCAAAAGCTTATCTTAACGACGTAAACAGGGTACCAGTTCGTCTAGCATCCTACTAGTAAAGTATCCCTTCTTCTGTTCAGAAAACGCAACCCAAAGGATGTCAACAGAAATGTTAATAACACCAGTGCACCGCTACCGCCAACGCAATCGCCATTGCCTTTGCCTCTACCTCTGCCTCTGTCAAGTGCTGCTCCAGCCAGGATGAGGATGAGGATGAGAACGCAGCTGTGAATAAGTCTAAGGATGAGTAGGGGATGAGTACGAGGATGGGTGCCCACTGAGGCAAAAACAGTGGCCGTAAAACAGAAAAAGCAAAGCGAAGCAGCAAGAGCAGCAGCAGCAAAGTGAAGTTAAAGTAAAGTGAAGAAGCACCCAACCAGTCTGTCTGACTGTCTGACAGCAGCAGCAGCATCCAGTCGAGTGTAGTTCAAACATCACACCTACCGTTGGAGCGTCTACCGTCTGGGATCCTGGGATCTGGAGGGTCTCTGCGTCTGCTTCTGCAGATGGAGCTGTGGTCCATATTATGTAAACATTTGCTGGGTTTCACATTTTTTCTTCTCTTTTTTTTTCGCCCCGTTTTTAGCCTGCCTTCTGGTGCTCCCCTTTGATTCACACTGTGGCTGTTGGCTGTGGGTGGTGTTTATTGTGTAGCCGGCTTTTGTCGGATTCCCTAGGCCCCGGTTCCAACACTCTCAATCGAATACGTGTGGTGGTTTTTTTTTGCACGACATGACAGAGCGGAACAGTTTTTGTCTTTAAATAAACAGGAACAGAAAATCTAGGTGGAAATCGAACGAAGGATATGGAAAACGTTCAAAACAAATATAAACAAACTAATAAAATATTAATTTGACTGTGTGGAAAACAAACTAATTTTCGCATTTTCAAGTAACAATTTTCCCTAAGTGACCAATTTGTTTGAATGCAATTAAAACAACAACAACAACAACAAGTACGAGGAGTAGCAGGAGAACCTTTTTCCGACATTTCCATTTGCTTGACAAAGTCGTCAGTGGCTCTCTAACGGGTTAACCATAGTTCTGAAAACTTGTACTGCTGCTGCAAATTTGTGCAATTTTCATTCACTCCCCACCCCCCGGGATGGGACAGAGAAAAGCAGAGTAGACCAGAGCAGGCAGGGAGCCCTAATTAGACTTTGTGAGCGTGTGAGGCTCATTCCATATGCAAATTGCAGTCGATTGGTTTCGCATTACATAATTAATAATTCAATGAGAATGCATGTCAATCACACGCACAAATACATCCACTCATCCACCCACCCAGAGCACCCATCCATCCACCAGCGAGCAGACCACCACTTAGAAGACCAGGAAAATTGTGGTGCTGCGGTTCTCATAGTATGTACAGCGAATAGCGAATAGTTTTACAAACTGCTGGGTGTGAATATTCACAAGTACTCAAGGGGCACTCGGAGGAGCACCTTTTGCTGCATTTTCCGTGGGGTCTACTGAATTATTACTGGACCTACCATTATAGTATATTTTCCATTGCCTTGGGGTATACTTATAACAGTTACTGTATATGGCACATTTGCAATAGTTTCGTCCAATTATTGACAGAGCTATACTTATGGAAATTGCTGTATTTCTGCTTAAAAAATAGGTCACATCCTGCAATGAACTGCAAGTGATTATAATACCATCTACTTCTTATAGCTGATCCATCAGTTTGGTTTTCTATTTGTATCCTCGAATTTGTTGACTTCTCCCAAAAATAAAACCCCCACACGTATTCGAAGTGCCATAGAAACTTGAAATGTTGTGTGCGTGTGTGTGTGTGTGTGGGAGGCATCTATAGATAGGGGTACGGCCCAAGGCCTTTTTTCTGTGCAATCAATAAATTTTACAGTCGAGTGCTCAGGTGCTGCCATCCACGGATTACGCATTTAGTTGGCTTGGGCATCAGGTGAATGCTTTATGGCTCTTTGGGGTTGGCAGTGGAAGACTTGGTTCGGGACTACTTCTCCTTCCGCAATCCTTTAATTTGTTTTATTTAATCCAGGAATTCGGTTGGTTTTTAAACCTATTACAGATGTTGCAGCACCACCGCTCCCTCTCGATGGAAGTCACCCCCTTGTGTCAGCAAACACTCGTTAAAATTCACTTAAAATTCCATCATCATAAATTTGTCAAAAATTGCACACTCGTTCGCCTCACGAGCGCAGCCTTAAAGTGTCGACATTAATGCTGCCCGTCTTTTGTCTACTATCCACAGTTCCGGTCGGTGAGGGGGTAGGTATGGGGGGTTTTGTTTTTCACTTTAACTTTATTTTCCGAAGACGAATGTCTTACTTCACCAAATTGTTTTTGTGGAAAATCGTAATTTACAATGGCATTCCAAGGTCACGCAGCACATCGTAAACTTAAGTGTTGGGTGAAGAAATCCGCACAATTCTTTTTAGCACATGTTTCACAATTCGTTCCACTTGTTTGGCCATTAGAACTTCTAGATACTGTCAAATTACACAATCGTGACACAGTCTTTAATTTTCCAACAACTTTTGACAATGTTTATCATTTACCTGCAGCAATGAAAACTATATAGATATGGGGTAATCAAACTTCGAAGTACATAAGCACATAATTACTAATATTGATTGATGGCACTACAATATTTGTGTAGATTATGAATTTTTTTTTAATTTTATTAAATATTTTACAAGGAAACTCCTCCCCCTGAGCTGCAAAGCCTCTCGGAGAAAATTATCGTTTTAAACTGTTCTGCGTTTTTTTCAAACATTTTAAATTTGTTAAACAAAGAACGAGAAAACATACAGACACACCCATGACATCGTAACTACAGTATGCTGATGATTTTTGTAAAACTCTGTACATGCTCTTGCCACATGCCCCCAAGCCCCCAAGAAACTTCTTCTAGACAAATGAGTTTTTCTTTAAGACCGTTCGCTCGTCTGAGTTTTCTTATGACAACCTTTAGTTTATTACTTTTGGTTTATGTTTTCGTCAGTTGGCCAAATGTTTTAGTTTTAGCGGCAGCGCAGTGGCAACAGCAGGGGGCAGGCAACTCCCATCCACAATCTACAGCTTTTTGTGGCAAGGTCTTTTTCACTAGCTCCATGGCTCCATGGTGACTTCAATTTTTGGCAACAAAACGCAGCCAAAAGTTGCTGCAGCAGCACAAAAAACAAAAAGAAAAAAAAAAGAAATGGAAATCCGCCCAAGGCAAAAAAGCAATAACAAAATATTATTATCAAAATCATTCATCATGTGGCTGCAGGCAATAAATTTTCGGCTTCTTGCTGCGAAATGCAGCAGCAACAACAACAAAAGGAGGGAGAACTACAATTATTTTGGTAGACGTAGTAGTAGTAGTACTTGTACTAGTTGTGGTAGCTAACTGTTAATAAATCGCAGCTACAGATATCAGCCAACAGTTAGCACAGTTAGTAGGAGCAGCAGCGGCAGCTGGTGTGGCGCCACAGACGGCACGGAGTGGGGACGCATAAAAGTTCCGGGGCCTTGCCCCGCGAAACGAACTTTAACTGAAAGCGAGGCGTGGCCAGAGCTATAAAGCATTAACATAAAACTCCCGAAATATACGTTAAAAAGAGAGAAAAAGAAAGAAAATGGAAACAGTTAGTGGCCCCGCTAAGAATATTCAATGGTGCCCCCTGCTCTGCCGCTGCCGCTTTCCTCAGCCAAGCTGTAAATTTTCACATTACTTAAGCGCTTTCATTAATTTCGTATTAAACAAGTTTCGCCCCATTTTCATGATGTTGTCTTTGGTCCTCAGCAAGCAGACGCCAAAAAGAAATTCGGAATTTATTTTATCAAAGATTTCGATAGAATGAAATAAATATTGTGATTTTTAAAGAAAAGCTAGAAGGAAAGGCTGGCTTAGAGGTTAAACTAGTATTAGATGCCCCTGTAGCATTTATTTATTTATAGCTTGGACTTAGCTTTTCGACACAACAAAGTAAATAAAGCAGGAAGCAACCCGTGCTTAAATATTCAAACAAATATTTCGGGAATCACACAAACAGTAGTAGACAGAAAAAAATTCCCCGAGCACATAGAAACCAAAACACAATTTATACTCAACATGCTGCAGCCCCAGGATGAAGAACAAAAGGACAAATGTTCCACTGTGGTCGTAATGGCTGAAATTACATCGGAGGATCCATTGGAGGATGGTTTCCAGGACGGAGCTAAGCAGACACCAGACAGCAGCATGTCAAATTATGTGGACGAGATCCAGTCGAGTCAGGAACAGATTACCACACGCTTTACAGAGCTGCTAAACTTCTTCGAGAGCTATGCAAAGATCATAGACGTAGAACTGAAGCAGCCGGTCGTGGTTTCCAATCAACTGGAACGTATGTCAAACCATGGTATGAGGGAGGAAACTACCATTCAGTGATACCTAATCTATAACATCCTTCCCAAAGATCATGATGAGATTACGTCGGTTATTGTGGAGGATCACACAATCAAGACCGCCACCAGTGAGGTGAGCATTCAGACGTCCTTGTCGCTGCTAAAGCAACAGCAGAACGCCTCCAAAGTAGTGGAGCAAGGAGTGTCCGTGTACACCACGGAAAAGCCCAGCCAGGCGCTGCAGCATACCATCCACATTGAGGTGGAGAATGTTCCATCGGAGACGGAAATGCAGAGGACGCCACTCCGCCAGAGATTTTGCAAAATTGTAGTCAATGCCTTGGAGGTTCTTATCGGCTGCATGTACATGGTCGGCGAAAATATCACCTATGTGATGCTGCTCAGTGTCCTGTGCATTTGGTGCTTCTATCGTTGAAATGTCAAATAAAATGCGTTTCTTTCTTTTCCTTTAATTTGATTAAACTTTGGATCGAATTGAAAGACTCGATAGTTCTTATTTTCTTGTCCAGCAAGTGCTCTTCTCTATCAATAATCCATCAGTCTCCTATGTTTCGTTTCCTCTCGTCTTTTTGCAGTTCCTCTTTGGAGTACATTTTGCAAATTGCATTTCATTCTTCGACTTCCTCTTTGGCCATTGTCATTTGTAATCATCATTATCGTCATCGTCATCGTCATCATTCTCATAATCAATTCACTTGTCATTCGAGAGCTGAATGTAATGCAGTGCAGTGCCCTTCCTCTGTCCCTCTGTCTCTCTGATACTCTCACTTGTCGTTATTCTCTTTGCCACTTGTTTGATAAATAATTGTCCGTCGTTTAGGTTGGTACATAAACAAGTAAAGTTAAGAGCATATTGTATATTGTATATTGCCCATCCCATACCCCATACCCATCTTGCGGACACATGCTGTGTGTTCTGGGCTGTGTGTGATGTGGTGCTCTCTACGAGAATGCCTTCGCTAACGGCTCTTGGTAACCGCACGGCAAAGCCTCTCGCTGGGCCTCTGACCACATCATCAAATGCAAAATACGAAATGGTAAATGGGGAAATGGTAAATGGGAAATACGAATTTGCAGAACCAGAAGCAGAAGCAGAAGCAGCGTAATTGCCACCGCATCAGGCCCAAAGCTGAAACCAATAAACCAGCACACGTCGATTAGTTGCACATGAATGCGGCAACATGGGCAACGGCGGCGGCGGCGGTCGCATGGCCAGGTGATGGAAGATAGGCGATGGGCGAAGCTTATCTGCTGTGGCATTCGGAGATCTGGTGGGGTAAATGCTGCCAAGACAGACAGTCACACGACGTTGAGCTCATTTAAGCCATGTCTTAAGAAGCTTTTGGCTATAACATTTTACTTCTCTCCTTGCCACACAGTGGCAAGTAGAAAACTTGAACCCATGGAGGGTTTGAGTTCGAGTTTGACCCAAACGGCCCACAGGTGACCGACCAATTCGCAAAATGGTCAAACTGTGTATGCATGGGTGTCGCCTGTCTGCCACGAGCGAAGAGGAACCGCAACGGGACGTAGCCTGGCAACAGATTTCACATATTTGCGTAACCCTCTCTAACCTGCATCGACTAACCAACCTAACCGGCGATTGCTCATTCGCTCAGAGTGGAGGAGTGGTGGTACAGGGCGGAGCGGAGCGGTGCGCCTTCACCGCATTCCAGGCGAAGCGACGAGGAGAACCGACCATGAATTTTGCATTTTGTGCTGTGTGTATTTTTAGCGGGGTCTGCCGTTGGGCAGGCAGGCAGGCCTGTGATTCATCAAAAGAGCGGCGACAGCTGACAGGCCGACAGCTACGCATAGAAATGAATTATACAAAAACTAGATAGACAATGGGCAATAATGCCTTACGCCTCACATTCCCCATCCTCCACATCGCCACCCGCCCTAGCTCTCAGGGAGAAACACCTGAGGCGACGACGAAGCGAATTGACTACGCTTATTCTTTATTAGTTGAACCCCCCCCGAGAAACCAGTTGACAAAAGGCAACGAACGCTGGTCAAAAGAACCAAGTGAGAATCAAAATATACTAGAGCGGCTAGTCTACACCGAACCTTGAATGCCCTCTGTTCAGAAATCCATACGGTTTAAATAAGATTTCAAAATCAAATGGAAATCGCTACGATTTCGAAATACATTCAGAATATACTGATAATTATGGGTATTACCCAAATGTACATTTATAGGTTCCGCCTGCATTCATTTTAATCGTAATACTACATCATTTTTATATATTTTTTTAGTTTTCCGATAAGACTTGTTCAAGGTCAGAACTACAATACATGAATGTAATACGTTTGTGTGTTTGGATCAAAGAAAGTCGCTGTAAAAATACTCTTACAATTGTAGCAGCATTTTAGGAAAAGTATTTTTAAATCGCATTACTTATAGAACTTGTTCAGATAATTGTCTCTAATGATATCATTAAGATTGAGTGTCTAAAAGGGGAAATGGCATTCTCAACATGCTCCCCGGATACGACAAACATTTTTTTTATCAAATAAAATGCACATCTGCTTCCGACCATAAGTTTTTATTGTCAATGTTACATTAATGTGCTGTACGTACATATGTAATTATATACATACATACATATGCATGTGTGTGTGATCTTTGTTTGTATTCCAAGCCAACATTTTGCAGATCGTTCAACTTAATTTTTGATGGTTTGAATAGAAAAGTTTTGCATGGCAACCTCGCCAACAACCCCTACATTGTATGTAGGATCGTTGTAGTTATGCCCCGTCATGCCGATCAAGAATTTGCTACATACGCCCTTATGTAAATAAATATGTACATATGTTTGTATGTACTCAAGTACAGTGAGACCTAAAACTGTTAAATTATTTTAGCTTGAGAGACGTCTAGTAAATTGAGACGGGAGAGATGCGAGTGTACAAAGATGTGAAACTCGATTGGAAATCTGTCCGCCAAGTGGACTTCACTGTAGATACAGCATGTGCCACATGTAATTGTGCACATGAGTTTGCAACATTCTGTTTGAGGTTTTTTCTTTTGCTTTTTTTGGCTTGCTGCCTTCTGGCATTTGCCTTCGCTCGAATGGTTTGCCAACATTATGACAAAGTTATGATACTCTTTCCTGGGAAAGCACATAAAAAAGTATCAGCGTGAAGGCGAAGGCACACAACAAACGAAAAAAGCATGCAGAACAAAACGAGTACGTGTTTGTATGGGTATGTATGTATGTGTGCACGAGCATCCCCCTCCCGAGGCCCGATTACGTTGTCGCATAACGTTTGAAGATGACGCGCTGCTGCCAGTGCCAGACGTAGTGGCTCTGCCTTGTCCGCTGCGATATGGGTTGTGTGGAGGGGGCAGCTGGGTGGCAGTGGGGGCGGCTGTGGGAATCAGCTGCAAAGGTGCGGCGACATTGAACAAGCCAACGAACGGGCGAGCGTCGCGAGAACAGCAAAGCCAGAGCCGGAGCAGAGTTTACTTTGCGTCGTTTACTTTTCTGATAACGTCGTCATCGTTGGGCTAAGGCAATGATAATTTATGCACCGCACACGCACGAACAGTCATCACACCGACGGCACACGGACAACAGACAGCACACGCACACATCAACAGCCAAGCTGCGGGAGAGGAATCCGTTTTTTTTAAAGCTTTTTATTGTTGTTGTTATACTCTGTGGTAGGGGTATATTTGTTGTTGATCAACGTTAATCTTTATAATAGACAGACAAAAACCAGCAGCTGCCTCCCGCTAGACTTTTGTCCAATAATTGTGCCAATTCAGTATAATATCAGAAATTAGAACTCACAAATTCGATTTTTTTTTTAAATTTTAAACAGGATGAAAAGAAGCAGTCTTAGATTCTACTGTTAAATAACTCATAGAATATTATTTGACTCATATGTATTTAAGTGTATTACGCAGCGCTAGTAAGTGTGTGCAAGCGTCATAATGCTGTTTATTTTGTTATGTAAACTTCTCTCACTAATTTTTGCGCTCTCGCGCGCTCTCTCTCTCTCTCTCTTTCTCGTTACAGCTCGGCACAAGATCGGCGCTGCGCTGCATTACTCTGCATTTCGTATTTCGTGTTTGACAGTTGACAACGAGAGACGCTCGGGCGCGCACAAGCAGTTAACTTAGACCCGACGGCGACGCGTCGCTGCCGTCGATCGTCGACGCTTTCGCGTTTCCCTTTTTTTTTATCGCGGGTGTAATTGAGATTATGAACAAGACCTTCAAATTGTCCGAAATGCAACGCACTAATATCGAGTTTGAACGTCAGCGTCATTTGGCCAATTGGCTGGTGAAGAGCAGTCCCCACATGGCAGCAGCAGCAGCGGCAGGAGCATCCACACCTACATCAGGAGCTCCAGCAAACACGGCAAACACTGGATCAACAGCAGGAGTGGCGGCAGCGGCAGGAGGAGGTGGTACAGCGCCAGGCGGCGCGCCCAGCCACAGCAGCGCGGCTGCAACAGCAGTAGCAGCTGCATGTAACGGTAAGCAAAGATTGCAAAGGGGGAGGCGGGTAAAACGCTCGTAGGGTGTACGAAAGGAAGGCACGCGCTCCAAACAGCGAGAGAGAGGGAGAGCGACAGAGAGAGAGAGAGAGAGAGCGAGAGAGAGAGAGCGAGCAAATAATTTAAGAGTACGTTTTTTGTTTGCTATTTTATGCTCTTTATAGAAGTATCGGTGTTTTGGTTAGGCGCTTGAAACAGGGAAAATTGAAAGAAACTAGCGGAAAATGAAAAAATCATTACAATATTCCGTTGTGGGCAATTCTAAGAATTAAATTTCATAAACCAGTGTTTATATCGTATACCTAATATTGCTAAAACCATGTTTGCTTGTGGCGCCTTCTGGGAATCAGTGAACTTGAGCTTTGCTTTGCATTCTGTTGCGAATCGGACACAGCTTTGTGGCTTCACATAGAAGAGGAAATATTAACTGGAAGGTAAAATGAACGAGAAAATAGCATTTGTACACTTTTTATACACTTCCACATCAAGTTTGATTATAAAGTTCTACTCCCAATCATTTAGTTCCATGCAAATCTGGAAAGAGTATGAAAAGCAAGGCCTTCCATTTGGTTTTTTTTGTTTGCTATTTTGTTGTTGCTTCCACTGTGAATTTTGTTACCTAGGCGCGCGTCGCTTCGCGTAATTTCACACGAAACGTGACGATGACACAGCCCCCCTCGCTGTCATTCTGCTCGCTCTGCTCATTCTGCCATTGATTCTGCCTCTCTCTCTCTCTCTCTTGCTTTCGCTCTAGTGTTGGCCGCAATTGCAATTGATATTTCACAAAAGATAAGCGTAATTTCACAAAACGTTTAGCTCTTTCGCTGTTATGCTGTGATTTCTGCCTCCGCATGCACTTACGTGTGTTCATACATACAAACATATGTACATATATGCATTTGCGTATGTGTTTATTAAACTCGAATATGTAGTGTGCGTGTGTGTGAATGGTGCAAAAAATTAAGCCAAATGTGCGCAATTAGAGTGAGTAATGCGCTGCCACCGACCACCAATCGGGCGAATGGCTGAGGGGAGAAGCAGTACTAACCGCCCGCACCATGGGCAGCAATCGAACAATGAGCAATCAAAAGTCGCGATATCTCTTTTTAATTGCACCGCTTGAAGTTCAATGAAAACAGTGACAGACAATTGCTTTTTGGATGTCGATCCGATAGCCGTTGCCATTGGAATAGGTGGGGAATTGGAATTGTTGGGATCCAGAAATAGTTAACTGTTTGTTTGGTTGTTAATCGCCTCAAGTGTTTGAGTCTTTTATAATTGCTTCAATGGAATGAGCAGCGATATCCGATCCGACATTTAAGTACATTCAATGCCATTTGACCTAGAGTCACAGACCTTTTGGGTTTTTGAGGGTTCTTCCTGAATATTATCTTGGGAACTCCCAAAATACACAATTTTTGCAGTCACAAAGACTATGACAAATATTTGAGTTTAAAATCAACTAAGTTTGTGTATTTTTTAGGCCAATAGAATATATTTTAGAATGAACAATTCCCATTGTTCAGATCATCCAGGTACATATACAAATAAGAGCAATGAACGCCGGGATCGTTTTACAAATAATAATACAAACATATTTGAAAAAGAAAAATTACAATGAAAAAAAAAAGAGTTAATTTCGTAATCGACTTTGAATTTTTCACATTATTTTCTATAGAATTTTCTTCATTGTTTTATGGTCACGCTTTATGGCGACTTTCGCCCACTGTGTGTCATCGTCTCGTTGACCGTTGACTGAAAATTAGCTGCGCTTAGCAACAGTTTTGAACCACTTGCCAGTTCGTTGCGTCACGCCAAATGAAATTCGCGTTCAATGCGGCTGTGACTGTGACTGTAGCTGTGACTGCGACTGCGACTGGTCTCTCTGGGATGTTCAACTACTCGCAGATTTAGAAGTAGAAATAAATGTAGATGTATTCTGGGGGATGTGGTGTGGGTTTTTCCCACTGCCGACTGCTGCGGCAATTCTATTTTTATACGATTACCTCACTAATACTCCCCCGCCGCCCGCAACTCTTTGCGTTTTGTGTTGCAGGTGGAGCACCAGCGGGCGCCCATCCCGGCCACATGGCTGCCGGAGCGCGCAAGCCCAAGTTGCGGCGCTTCAACTCCCACGACACCAGCTCCAACATGTTCTCGGTGGCGGAATTTGAGAACGCCCGACTGGCGCGCCGCAACGAGATCGAGCTGAACCAGCGGCTGGCCCGACGCCTGCGCAACAGCGCCAACGGCAGCTATGGCCTTGGTGCTGGCTCTGGCTCTGCCGCAGGCGGCGGCAACGGTTATTCTGGCTTCTGTGGAGGTCTCAACGGCAGCGGCGACTACTCGACCGGCGACAGTAAGGCCTCCAAGGGAAGCAGCGAGGTGAGTTGCCGTTTCCAATAGTTTTTGCCCATCTTAAAAAATGCATGTTTACAGTCGCAGCAGGAGCCGCTACCCGCCGACATATTCCTCGAGCGGTTCTCGCTGCCCCGTGTCGTCCGCATCCTGCATGCCAGCAAAAGCTCCAACGAAACCCTGCAGTCCAGCTCTTCGCACGGCTCGTCCACGGCGGCCTCAAGCAGTTCTTCGACGGGACCGAAGCCAGTCAGTGGTGGTCCAACGATCACTAACAATTCCGATACGGGCACTGGCACCCATTCCTCCTCCAGCGCTGGGAGCGGCAACAACAACAGTAACAACCGGCCATGCAGCAGCGGGCACGATGAGCTTTTCCTACTCTACAGGCTTGTGCGACAGCGGAACATCTATCATGGACACAATGCCAAGACTCAGGCGTCGCAGCGCAAGAAAATCGTGCTAATACCACAAGAGTTTCCAGGTGTGTTTCCGGATCGTTGTTTATTTTAATTTCGTTTCCATTTACATACTCGTAATCATAATATAGTCGTAGGTAGTCGAATGGCATTGGGTTTTGTTCTATTCATGACGAATGCATATTTTGAGGCATATTTGTGGATGATTACGTGGGTCCAGACTCAGTTAGTCACTCAATCCATGCCTTGGGGGCTGTGGCCCTCTAGCAAATGAGTATTTACTCCCTTTGCGCTGAATTCGTTTGCGTGCCACAGTCACAGTTCAACAATGAAAAGTAATCGCAACTATTGCTCATCATCACCCCACCATTATGCAATGCGGGTGGAGCTGGTTAAGGGGAGATGCAATGCGGGGTGCTCTATGCGGGGTGCCAGTGGCAGTCAGTCAGTCAGTCAGTAGTGACTTCTTCTGGTGCCCTCACCCGCCAATGCGGTGGTCGGTCATCCATTGTTTTAGCTCAACGCGTAACGCCATGTGACTTTTCACAGCCATTTGGCATTTGTTGGGGCGCAAAGTAAACCAAAGTGTGCAAATATTATGCAATCTGCCAATTTATAGACCGACTGCAATCGGTGTATTATCATTTTACTCATTCAACTTTTAGTGCAGTGTACACAGAAGAGAAAAAAGAGCCAACTGGGCTAGCTGGCAAATTGGATTGATTCAATTTGTGTATTTGTGTATTGAGTTTTACTCCTCTGTTGATTCAATTACAATTTAAAACAAAGAAAAAAGGTTTCGCCTTTAGATGTCCGTCCATCAGCGAAAATATTTGATACATTGAGATTATAACTGCCAGTCTTTATCTCTTTTCCCAATTAAATATTGTAGATATAGAATCGACTGTCACTAGCAATAATTACTTTAATCGAATTGTAAGGCAGTACGTCATTTAACGTCAACGTGTTGAAATTTACAAGCTGTCATACCATAATTTGAGTTCTGTTTCATCTTTGTCTCATTTTCCAATTTGCCAAATGCAGCCAAATGCGTCATGTCATGCACAAGAAATGTATGTTGTTGCCAAGAGTATTCACCTTTGCTTATTCGGGTCATCATTATCATCCTGCCATAGATGACCTTTTGCCTATTTATATTTTTAATCCATTCTATATGCTTGATAAAAGTTTGTTTACCTTTTAAAAATATTTTCCCTTTTTTTTGTACCTTTTTGACAACGCTTTAGGCTATTTCTCGCTGCTCAATGAGAAGGGTCTGCCGACAGCCACGCAATACAGCTCGCTAATGCATCTGGTGCGGGAGCGGGTGTACAAGTTCGTTTCGGTGGACAATATGCCAGCTTTTACAGAGTCCTCGCCAGCGGGCAGCGCCAGCAGTCCCACGCACGAGGGCTGTCTGCCCGTCATCAAGGGGCGGCCACAGTACGTCAAGACGACGGCACGTGGCGGACAGGTGTTTCGGCTACTGGCCGTATTCGAGGATGGAAAGCAGGAGCATGGACACGGCCAGGGACAGGCAAGCTTGTCTCAACACGGAAGTGGGAATGTGACCAAGTCCCATTCAAGTGGCTACATCGGGCGCGAGAAGGAGAAGAACCGATACGCCCAGTTGCTGAACGAAAACCGCCAGGTTATGTACGTCCCCCTGGCCACCAAGGGAAAGTTCTACGAGATTGAGCCGGGAGTACCGCAGCTGCTGCAGAAGCTGGGCGATGCGCAGCGCAAGATCAATCCGGAATGTGTACACCGATTGGGGGCACTGGTGACGGCGGCCAAGCTGTTGCCGGTGACCCTGCGCTATATCTCGGGACCCGCCGGACCGGAGATACCCGAACAGTTGTGCATCAGTCAGGTGACCAAGGAAGATGTGGCCGTTGGGTGCCCCATCGAGGACGTTGACACGCAGACGCCGCTGCAGCTTAGAAAGTTCTACCCCAGTCGGGACATGCAGCTGATCAAGAGTTACCTAGGCTTCGATTCCGAGCAGAGAATGCTGGCCAACACCAATGTGCAGAATATGCTGAAGTTCTGCCAGTTCAACTGCGATCAGTTCCTGCGGCTGGTGGAGGTGGAGCTGGTGCAGCGCTCGGAGCGCTCTGGCAGCAAAACCCGTGAGGGACTCAGGATCCTGAAGCCCCTCCACTTGCCTCGGATTTTGAGGCGAGAGAAGAGCACCATGGCGGCGGCCCACGAAAAGGAGGATTCGATTATATTCCTTAGCAAAAGCGATTTGGAAAGCCTGGAGGCCAAGGAGGCGGCGGCGGCGGCAGCAGCAGCATCTGCTTCAGCTGCCTCCTTGTCGGATGCCGGAACCAATCGCATCTCGGAACGCATGAAGGTGTTTCAGTCCACCAAGAAGAAGTGGTTCGGCAAGCAACAGCAACAGCAGCAGCACCATGAGAAGCTGCCGCTCGACTCGGAGCTGGATGCGCAGGCCAAGCGAATGAGCATGGAACGCTATACGGACATGTCGAAGCTGCTACAGGCGCGATTCGGCTCAGATCAGGAGCAGCCAGAGCGGGATGCTATCTCTTTGAATAGTGGCGGAGCCTCGGATACCGAGACCACCACACTGACCACCATCGAACCCAAGTCCTTGGACACGTTGCTGCAAAAGTCCATGTCGCTGCAGGACATCGAGCTGTTGAATGGCCAGTGCAAGCCTCGTCCCGATCTGCTGGCCACACACAGTAACACAGATGCCATCAGCGAGGCGGGCATCGAACTGGAAGATGTGGAGAATCAGACGCCGCCGCCGCAGTCGTTCATTACCGAAAAGCTCTACAATGAGTTTCATGTGAAGACGCGCCAGTACAGCAAGTCCTCGTCGAGTCTTCACCAAATGCGTCACTTCTCGTTACCCCAGAAGCTACAATTGCACGAGGAGGCGGAGCAGGAGGATCGTAGTCTGATGCAATTGAAGGCGCACCAGCAATCCCTGACCAAGCAGCCCGTCACGGGCCGTCGTGCGGCGGGCGGAGTCTGTCTGCTGGGAGGTGGACTGAACAATATACCGTCCCCGGTACCGATCTCATCCTTTTCCCCGGTGGAAGACGATCTGCCCTACTCGAGTGTGCGCGACTCCTTGGTAATGGCCAGCGATGGAAGTCTGCAGCCACAGGTTTCTGTGCGGGGGCCCGCACCAGTGGACTACACCAAGGAGAACATTTATGCGGAGATTTGTCCTTCGCATACCGTCGACACATTCTCGGGCGCTACACAGTTCACCCATGTGCTGGATGACGGCGATGGGGATGGTGATGGGGATTATGCCTCTCTCAGGTATCCGACCAGTGGACCTCAGTCCGTCAGTCGCATCGAGATCAACGGTGGGGCCTCAAAGAGCGCCATCAGCTACCACACAGTGTACTTGGGCGAGGAGCCGTTGGGGGAGAGGCATGCGGCTCATATTACCACCGTGGAGCTGGCCGGTGAGGACAACATATACAATACGCTCAAATGATGACTAATGTGATTCCGGCGACGCAAATTGGCCGGCGCGAAGGGACTGTTTTAAGGGGCAAGCAAGTGGAAATATTTCACGTGATCTAATACTAAATGTTGTAGAAAATCATTCATTAATATTCTAATATTGTTGTAGGTCTCATACTCGAACTGAATCAAAATATCATTGTAAATCAATCTCTTGGATCCCGAAATGTATTTCTAAGTATTGAGTTTAAAAAGCGTAGAGAAGAGACTTCTTGGGGCAGCTCAAACTGATCTGATAATTGAATATACATTATAATTTGAATAACTTTTTGTACAAGTTCTGCAACAGGGCAGTCTTGTAATCTCTGAAAGAAACTGAATTTATGTTTTAATTTGTATGAAACGTTCTAATTCTTAAACAATTTGTCCATAAAAAACACACACAAAAATCTGTATTATAATCATATACATTTTCCTTGCTTGCCCTCTGATTAAGAGATGCAAACAATCTGAAAATTGTATTGCGGCTTGTGCACAAACTGAGAAATTTAGGTATTTTGAATATTTCTCGTTTAGCTTTGCCAGAGAAAGTGGGAAACGGAACGGAATGGAAATCTCTGTCATAAAAAGTATATAGAATATATATACAAATATTTGCAGCAATTAGTATTAGTTATTAGCATATGGAACAACTTTGTAAATGAGACGTCCAGGTGGGCGACGAAAAACCCCTAGAAATGACAACTCAAATTGTAATATTATTATAAAAAACAAAAATCAAGTGAAGACAAGCAATTTGTATTGTACATACGATTATATACTAGATGTATGGGCGATTCTATTGCCTTGTCCTTGTGTCCCGTCCCACAACCTGTCCCTGACCCTGACCCTGACCCTGACCCTGACTCTGACCCTGAACCCTAAACAAAGCAAAAACACAATGAAACTGAACATTTGGAAATTGCAATATTATACAATTGTATACATTACTTATATACATATAGATATAGATATACCTTTATATATACAAACACACATACACATACACATACATATAAATATATTATACTTACATAGAAATCTTAGCGCGACCTAAGGTATTATTAGCTCGTAGGCAATCAACAAGTCAAATCAAATCATAAGCGATACACATCTACATACGCATATACTTACACATACATACATACAATTACAGCTATCTATTGATTGTATATTTGTAAAATAGCAAGCAAATTTGTAGGGCATCAGGCCAAACTTTTACACGATCTCTCGTATTATGTCGTTCTTTTTGGAAGTTACACTGGAAGTGAGGCATGTCCACATCGTACAGTTATGAATATTTTTTATTATATGTATGTAAAGTGTGTAGTGTACCATACGAGTATGTCTGCTGGTCCGCTGCGCTGATGAAACTGAACATTCTGAATCTTTTTGTGTGTGGTATAATGAGTGGACAAAATATCGAGCCATATTTAAATGCAGTCTCAAAGTAGTGTTTAGACATTAAGATCTTGGTATTTCTAGTCTAATCTGAGAAAAAAAAAGAAATGGGAATCTGGTCGATGGTCGGACATGTCGGGCTTTCGTTCTTGTAATGGATACAAATAATGGATAACTTCGGTTAGCCGAAGGACTCTTCAATATATATACATATACTTTTTTTTAATTGGGTACTACATAAATAAATATCTAGCAAGAATTATGAATTTTTAAAAATGTATTTTATTTTATTTATCACTACAAGCAATGCCTTTTGATTTTATTTTAATTTACCCTTTCAAAATGGCAAACAATCAAGTTAGAACTTAATAATGAATAAAGCATCTAACTATAGTCTAGACTCTAGATATTAATAACCAGAGAACGAACCCTGTATAAAACGGAAGCAATACTCACCAAATAGCTATGATACTAGTTGTAAAACCCTTCTGACAGTGTCGACGGTGCCCAGCAAATGGGACAGCAACAGGATCAGTCAGTGTGTGTGATAGTAGCTAAGTAACAAGAGTACCATTTATATCGGTATTAGGTATTCGTATGCTGTACAGCCGGCCGTAAGGAATATTACAATATAATATGTATGTACAATGTGTAGAATGTACTGAGAGTACTAAGTGGCATTTCATAGTTAATAGACATGTAAGACAGGCTTCGCTGGAGCGCAAGGGTGATACAATATTGATGGAGATCGTGTTGGGATCGTGTGTGTGTGATCGCCGACAATCCCTCTCTTTCTCTCTATAACTGATAACAAATAGTGGTCAGGACAATGATGATGATGGAGAGTTTGTATTATGATAAACTATTAATTAAAGCAACTACCCGCCAGCATATAAATTGGTGTGATAACAGTGGGCATCAGGGATTTTTTAATGGAGTGGCAGAAAATGCCAGAGAAAGCACTGAAAGATGGGGAAATATGTATCTCCCTCTTCTGATTGTCCCGTTTAAATGCCGCCCGTGTAGGCCTTTTAAGCACATTGATTCTCAACGAAGAAAGAAGCAATACAATTTTCAATATGGAAAATAAGGGAGAAGAATTTGTATTCAAGCGCAATGATTTAAAACCAAACAAAAATCCAGCTAAGTAATCATGTTTTTGGTGTCTATGTTAATCCCTAGAATTTCCACAAGCAATTAATCAATTAGATTTCAAAGTCAAGCATTAGTAGAGCCCACAGCAAAAAAACCAATACACAAAGTATATAAATATTTATATCAAAAATATATTCATCAAATTCAAAGTATAACCTTGTAGCACTTTTAGATTTTCAACAGAAAAGCAAGAAGCAAGAGCCCAACATTTTGTTGGTATTTGTGAGGGGAGATGACTTTTTTTGGAACTGATCGCTGATCGATATTTTAGAAGAGCCCTTCGGCATGACTGAATTGATAAAAATGCGAACTAAATTGATACGAATTGAATTCTAATGAAATGTTTGGTAATGGCCTACACACAATCCCAGTCAAACAAACAAACACACACACATATAGTACATATAAATATAGATATATACATATACAGAAAAATTGATATGATATTACTGTTGTAGTAGATCTTTTTCTAACCGCTGACCATTACAAATAAAAAAGAAACCTAGAACGACAGCTTAAACGACCTCAGCAAAGGCAGCTCATTTCCACAGATTATCTCTAATGGAGGCCACCCAATCAACTCTGGCATACAAATTTATATTTCACGTTATACCTACTAATATATATGTATTCCTAGATAACAACAAAAAAAGAAACGATTAATAAACTCACAAGAAACCCTTTGGACAAACAAATTGAAGCCAATACAAGTGAAATAAATTTAAAAACAATACATTTTGAAGCTAAGGAATGGTTTTTCTGGTTCACTTTTGGGTACTAACGGTTGTTATTTTTCTTATATACTTTATATTCAACTTTTTAAAAAAGCGTTGAACACTCTGTCGCCACCTGTTGGTGGCGTTTAGTTTTAGTTGTATGAATTGGCCGTTTGCTTACAGTATTTTATTTTACATGTAGCATGTAGTATACATGTCTGTGGCGTAGAATTAATGTAAGATTAATGTTGCAGAGTTCCATTGAAGTTGTCCACCCCAACAAGGTATGTTAAATATTTAACACGTTGAATTCTTGGCATTTATTTTTTTAAATTAATTAATTCCATGAGTCCAAACTTTTTTTTTCTGAATTTCATTTTTATTACTGCACATATAGAATACATACACACTAATTCATAAATTTTGTTTATAATTTTCTAAGTCTGCTGCTGCTTTTGGTTTGCTGTACAATACATGCCTCCCCATCATACACAATATGTTAAACATTGATTTTTTCCTTATGTTTTTTTTTGCTTTTATATTTTATGGCCACATCTATTGTAGTGTGCTTATTTTATAGTTTTTATAGTTTTTATTTCGTACCTTTAGCAGCTGAAAGAGCAAGCAATTATTTCACACTGAATTTCCTAATAACCTCAAAGAAAGTAAAACGTCGAAATGTGAATATACAAATTGTTTTGAAAATTGCCTGAAATGGAAAACTTGCTTTTTTTGGAACCAAAACTGTATGCAGAATTGAATTGATTTTTCTTTATTTATTTGTAACTGGTTGCACTGACTGTACTTTGATTATTTCCTGCTTTGCTCTATTATGCCGACAACAGCATTGCCTAATACTTTTTTGAACTTTCTGGGTTTCGGTTTGGTTTTTTTTATTGAATACACACATATCCATATGCCTGGCATTGTTGGAACATATAGCCGCCTCTATCTGCGTTACATACCGTACTGTACTTGCATCGCCATTCCAATTTGGGATACATATCTAATAAGTTTTTGTTTAGCTTCATAGCTCTATGCTCTGGGTTCACTTCCCTGTCATCTTCGCTCAGTTTTCTCATCGAATTATATATTTTTGAGTTAACGATATGTTTGGTATACAAACTTTATAATACCCTGGCTAAATTTTTGGGGATAGTTTAGAACAGCGCTGAGCACTTGGCCGACTCTTGGGCCATGTCAAGCGTGGGGAACACGACGGGCATTGGAAAGGAAAGGAAAAGCTTGTTGCCACACAGTGGGGATACAATACATGCAACGGGTGGACACAAAAACTGAAACCAAATGACCTGGCGAATTATAAAAGAAGAAAGCCTCGGGAAAATGTGCGTGTGTGTAGGATTAGACACCGAAAGCTGTTTCTGGTTGAAAAAAGGAGATACCATATTGCAAGTAAAGACGTGTTCAGAAATCGAATTCTGGTTTGAGTTTGACTTGAGATAGATTTTGGCACTCTTTCTCCCATTCCGAGGCCTTTTTTGCAGTGTTTTCTATTTCAGAACACGACTTTTACAGTTGAATATTCGTGTGTTTGGTTTGTGGCACATTCAAAAGATAGTTTTAGATAGTACATTTCATAGTTAATTACATTTGTTTTTCCTTCAATCTCTCACACTCATGCACACAGGCTCTAGCACGCCGATACGCTAACACATTCACACAAATAGAACCTAGCCACGTACACACATGCATACATATACACACACACACATAGATAGATAGACCTGATAGCTAACTAAAATCTGTACTAAGCCTCACAATTCTACTCTACTGGCCCAGCTTCGCCGGACTGAGCACCAATTCCGGCTCACATTTGCTCGATGTGGATGCCGCAGATGTAGATGTCAATGCGGTAGGCGGCGCAAGGAGCTGGCTGCCACGCCCCCTTGTCGATGCTGCTGTGCTTGCGGATGACGGGTGTGATTTGTTTTCCGTGCTAAATGACGACGTGGACATGGCCATGCTCGACGACGACGCCGATGCCGGCCGCATCGCCGTTGGCTGCATTAAGCTCAGACTCAGACTCGCGGTGTGCGTGGTGGTGGTGGTGGTGGTGGGGCCGCCAGCCTCCGGCACCTGGCCAGGAATACTGGCCATAGTCGTGGCCATTGTCGGTGGCGCCGGCAGCGGCAGCAGGCTGATCGTTGTGGTGGTGGGCGGCATTGCCGCGTAGGCGGATGCGGCTGATGGACCCACTTTGCTGACGGGCATTGCGTAGGTTGACGTACTCATGGACATGCCAAGGGGTCCGCGGACCGTCGCTGACGCGGAATAGGTGTGCGGCAGGGCGGGGGGTAGATCATAGCTCGTTGGATGAGACTGCGAGGTGGGCAGCCGTGAGCTGGTGGGCGTTGTCTTGGGCGTGGCGCCCGTCGAGATGCCCGGCCGCGTGGCTTGACTGGAGGTGAATGATACACTGTTGTTGGTTTTGAGTCTGGGTATGGCTCCCGTGCTGCAGCTGCTTGGCAATGGGACAGGGGCAGGCGCTGAGGCAGGAACTGAAACTGGAACTGCCTCCGTGGCAACATTGGTGGCATCTATCAGGGAGGTTTCCTCTACAGCGACCGTCCCATCCAGAGAATCTTTGACCGTTGACGAAGAGGATAGCGATTGCGACTTGCTGACTTGCTCTTGTTTCACCTGCTGCTGCTGTGGCTGCTGTCGCTGCTGTTGCAGGGCCACTCTCTGCCGCACCAGCTTACTGTCGGGCTTCTCGTCCACGGTGCTCAGAGTCGTCCCCCTCGCTGCTTTTGTTGGTATTGTTGCCTCTTTGGTGGTACTACTCGTTACGGCAGTCGTGTCTGTTGTTGTTGTTGTTGTTGTTGTTGTTGTTGTACGTTTGGCAATCTGCCGCTGCTGCCTGGCCTTTTCCTCCTGCTCCTCCTCACTCATCTCGCAGGCACTGAGCGCCGTCTGCAGCTTCGTCATTTCCAGTGGGGCATCTGCTAGGAAGATTCAGTTAGGCCTTTCAATATATATCTAAAAGAGGGTTTTATACTCCTACCGCCACTGTCCGGCTCGTTGATGATGGGCACCACTCGATTTATGGCCTGCTTCTGTTCGTTTTGCATGAACAGCGATGTGGTGGCTATCTGGCGCAGTGCCTCCATTCCCTCATTGAGCATTTTGCTCTGGCTGCGCTTGTGTGCTATGGGATATTTGGGCTGCAATTTTGCATCTTTAAGAAGTGAATTCAATCATGTCTGGAA